TCGACCGGTAGTCCTCCAATAAATCGACCTCGACGGCGATGTAAAGGGGCAACAACAGCGCAAGCTGACTCATCGGAATGCGGATGATGGCCGGCGTAAAGAAGATACAGAGAGTCTCCTGGACCTCCACCTGAGTGGGATATTTGTCCCGTGTCGTCTTATCGAGACTACTTATGCCACTTCGTCCCTGGTCACTGGTGCAATAAGTAAACGCATCGATCTCCCAATACCCACACATGGATTTTAGATAACACCTGTGTTAACGTTGGCGCCGTTTTAAATTCGTCGAATTTCCCGCCTGACGCCCCGTGATTTCCTAATTTCCTGAATTGCTCACATTCCCTCCGACTCTTGAAAAATCAAACTAAATAAATAAAATAAAAACAAATCACATTTTTAATTTCTAGTTTAAGTTTTTTATTGACGAATTGTGCAATTTTTTTAATGAGATATCCAGTGGTACATAATTAATTGAATAATTTTTATATTCTTGTAATATAAACACCGGATATATAAAGATTTTTATATTTTTAATAATTGATTATTATTAGACATGAAAAATTCGGTGAGTGTTTTTAATTGAAATCGGATCAACGCTCATAAAATTGAAAATTCAAAATTCAAAATTCAAATGACTCACTGACTGAAATTTCGAGAAATTTTAATCAGTGCATTAGCAATAATCTGGAGATCACCTCAATATCGGAAAATTTTCTAAATAAAGTGCATTGACTAATGAGAGAGACGAGGGTATCTGGCGCCACCCGGAATTCTTGGAGGTTTTTTTTTTTTTCAATATTACCGTGGCCCAGTGCCAGAGACCGCTTTAATTTCTTCCCCACTCTCCATTGAAGAAAGTATCAAGACTAGCAGTAGTATTTAAGAAACACAAACCATTTAATATGAGGATGAACCGGCGTGGAGATTTTGCCCCGTGGGTAGATTATGTGTGCGGCGCTCTCGGTGGAATCTCTGGGCCCCGGACGAGAGTTGCCCCGTGCTCATTACGATGATTGGCAGATTCAATTAACAGACAAGGGCTTGGGCCCCTCCACGTCCCAGGGTCGAGCCGACTTAACCCCGTCGACTAAATATTATTAATAATAATCAGCTCATTACCGGCTCCATTAATTATCTCGTGTACTAGCCTCGTCCACCCCCTCTCCCCTCTCCCCCCCTTTCCCGGTGAGACCTCGTGGATCATGTGATTGATAGAAAAGACGCGGTGGTCCATATGGGGATGAGCAAGAAATTACGGGAAGCAAACATGTTAAATTCGGTAAACATTTTATATATATATGTGGAGAACAATTTTTTAAATTAATTTTAGAGCTGTACAGAAAAAAAATTATTTGTTGATAATTTGATATTATTATTTTAGATGGTAATTGTGTTGTTGTCGAATTTTATATTACTATTAATAATTCTTGGCGATAGATTGTTTAATGTTAATATTTCAATTGATTGAAGAAAATTAATTTAATGATATTAATATATTCTCCTTGTGATACGTTTCGTGAAAATTTTTAAAAATATCCTGGAAAAATAGAAATATCAGTAATAGAGAGACCAACAATCGCTGATGAAATGAAAAAAACGGATGAAAAACTGGATAACGGATTAACTAATTACCCAGAAAAAAAAAATAATGATTTTCAGGAAATACGATATCGACTCTTTTTTTTTACAAATTACCCACCGTGCACGGAACCATCTCCGACGTGAGTCATTCTCATTTTTTAATTTATCATTTATTTATTATTGAGAATGCGTATTGCATTGGAGAGAGCGAAGTTATTTAAAATGCAATGGACCGGAGCGCCAAGTGGGGGCCAAAAGCCACCAACAATATTAATCCATTTAACAAACTTATTATCGATGAGATATACTGTGCGTTTTTTGCGTGTGTGCAGAAGGTGTGTATTCACTAAGAGAACGCTAACGCTTTTGGTTGAGATGACGAGGGGAGGGTGAGGGAGGATGAGGAGAGGATGAGGGGAGGCTGAGGAGGATGAAGAAGACGATGAGGAGGACGAAGAGGACGAAGAGGAGGACGAAGAGGACGAAGAGAGGATGAGGAGTATGAGAGGAGAGGGCGAAGGGGGAGGAGGGGCAGGAGGTGGTGGCAGTGAGGGGGGGAGGATAAAAGGTGGTGGAGGGAGAGGAGGGAGAGGAGGGAGAGGGCTCCTCTCTCGGGTGTATTAGCGGTTGGCACCCCTGCGGTTTGATTTACGGACGCGCGCTAACGAGCCGAGAGAGAGAAAGAGAGAAGAGAAAGAGTTCAGCCGTGGGTTATAGAAGGTTGTTGTTGTTATTATAATTTTAAACGTTGGGTGCTGGTTTTTGGGCGGTGAGCCCCTTCGAAAATTGATCCGCACTGGGAAATTTTGGGAAACCCCAACGGGAACGGGGGAAACTGAATATTTATCGAGTATATCCATGAGGAGAGATGTGTAGGTGGAGCAAGTATTGTTTTGGAATTAATTCAATTTATGTTTGTGTAATTTTTTAATTGAAATATTTGATTAGGATATTAGGATATTAGGATTTTAGGTGACCCACTTTTTTGATGATTTTTTTTTGTCGTCGGCATGAATGAGAAGTCTTTGGCACTCGTCAGTGAATAGTAATTAATAATTAACTAATTAATGTTATTTGTTATCAATAATTGCGGTGATGAACGGTTGGGACTCACTGCTGGAAATGGAGACAAGAATTTTTGCAATTTTGGGGTCGATTGAAAATTTAGAAAAATGCCTAATTACCGGTTTGCTAATTAATTGCTCATGAGTGGTCTATTTTCGGGGAAAATTCGAAAAGATGGTTTATGTTGAGAGGAAGTTGAAGGATGACGTGGAGAAATTTTAATCTTCAGGTGCATTTATTACAGGAACAGAGCGTAAAATGCAAAACTGGAAATGCGTTCGCTGTTTTGTCGGTTATTTTAGCTCTTACTCGGGGAGGGAATTCCGTCTCGTCGTAATGAATTCAATGCAGTTATTGAGAATCTTCGAGAAAACGATCAATCATTATATGAAGTTATGTTTTTTTCATCCTGGTCACATTGACATGGAATTGTGAAAAAAAAATGAAGAAATTGACGGGTAACCGCAGGGTGAAAGTCACTCGTAATTATATACTTAAAACGATTTCAAGTGTTCTGTTTCCACGTTTGCTGTGAGGTATATCGCGTGACGTATAGTTATCGTACCTATACAATTTAAGATACGAAATGAAAAAATCGAGTGGAAAAAAATGACCCTAAAAGAGGACTGTACATATTCAAGTGAATATTGCTCTGAGAATTTGGTGAAACTGAGTTCTACGGAAGAAATTCTTACGGATTTGAGAAAATCATGACGTTCCACTTCCTCATAATAACCATCTCAAATTAAATTAAAAAATGTATAAGTACTTATTATATTTAAGCAATCATTGAAAAATCAATCCCAATTAAGAAAATTGGAACCTAAGACTTAATTAATTTAAATATCAATCATTGAATTAGAAATTTAAAACGGGGAAATCAATAATTTAGAACGCAAATAATCATGTTCAGCAAATATTATAATATCGTGATATAATTCTAGAATATATCAACAATACCATAACTTAAAAATCATCAGAGTGATCTTCAGATAAAAAATCTACAAATCAATGAAAATTGAAAAAGCGGAAAAATTTGATAGCTGAGTGAATTTTTTACTCAAAGCGACAGAACCTAGTGCCACCCCCTGAAAATTGAATATTATATCCCATCATTACATATATATATAAATATCAGCTCTTCAAGACGACAGATTGAGCTCCGGCTAGAGAACTTGAAAATCGCGTCAACCACAAAAAGCCAGCACCTTTAATAGTCAAATAGTTTTTTTATTTAGAGCCCATCCCCCGCAAATAATTGGCGCTATGGGATTTATCCCAGGGTCAAAGTGGCAGCGAGATGCCCGGGGGTTGTGGGGGGGTATGAATATGATGCCCTGGGATGAAGAGATTTACAATGTTCCCGGCCGTAAAATAATCAATAAAATCCGTGCAATGTAAAGAAACTGACGTGCCATTGTGATTTAGTGCGGAGTGGGATATGGAGACTGGCGCGCGCTCTCCCTCACCCTCAGACAGGATGAGGATAAACCAGGAGGGCCCTTTGGCCATTCTTCCAGTTGGGACTGATAGAGAGAGATAGACGTATGAGAGATAGTGGGTCGTTCTCTGGGCTATACCTGGAGCAGAAGCCAACTGTTGACGAATTTACGAGCAACTTACGAGCTGCCTCTTATTTTCGCTGTAGGAATGAGGTGGGTGATAAAAACCGAGTAGACCCAGTACAAATGCCCATTCTATTGAGTAGTTGTAAGTCCCCGGCGACAGCTTTTGAAAACAATGTTTGCGTTTTTTTTTCGGGGGGGTGAGGTGGGGTGGGCGGGGGGCTTTTTAATTGCAGGGGGAGGTTCACGTGGGGATTGGTCGAGTCATCGTCGGGCAATTAAAGAGTATGGCGCTACTGAATGTGAAAGTTGCTCGGGTAGTTCGTGATGTTACCACGTCGCTACCAGTCGGATTCGATTTGTCAGGATTGCCTATTAGTGGGGGAATTTTTATCCGGGGGTTCCCTGGGTTGTGAGTAAGTGCACTGGCACCAAGTTTTCAGTGGCTGGATCATTGTTGTAGGCGTTCGAGTTTTAATCCAAATATTTTTTAGGGGAGAAGGAATGGTTTGAAGGATAGAAATTAGTAAACGCGGCGTTATGTGGTGATGGAGCGAATGAGAATGCTTACGGGTTCCTTCAAAATATATTAGGAACTTCATAGAATCCTCAGGAATTACTTGAAGTGACGAACGTCTTGAGAACAACTGAGAGATTTGTTCTTGTCAATGCAAAATTCAGAAATTAATTATTCTGCAGTCATCGGATTTGAATTAAAAAAATTTGTTAATCTGTGAAACTGAAGATTAATTCTTAATGCAGTTAAAACTCAATAAAACAATCAAGAAATATATGTAATGGGTTTCAAATTCCGAATTTACTGATTCGTAATTGATATTTGGTACAAACGGATGAAGCATCCAGCGATAAATAAAAAATTCTCCGAATAACTGCTCCCTAATCTAATATTAGTCTTGTCTACTCGTCTGTTCGAAAGTTGGATTGCTGAAAGTCGTCGTCGACGGTTTGTAGAGAGGATTTTCATCCTGAGGATAAAAAAAAATGGTGATTAGAAAGAGTCAGGTGTTTACACAACAAAACAAAAAGACTTACTCTTCCCCATTTAGCCGAAGACCTCTCCTTCTCGAATTTTGCGTATTCCTTCCTGTCGTGCAGAGTTGTGAGAACTTTCCAGAGGAGGAGACCCAGCAGCCCCAGGAGTACAGTAGCAACTACCACCCCGATGGCCACTCCCAGCACTGGCACTGGCTCCGGACACTTTTTCGTGCTTTCCACTGTTATGTTGTACAGCTTCTGGTCACCCCCTTCTCGGAGGAGTGCGTACTTGAAGGCGAATGTGCAACCGTCTTCAGAAGGTACCCAGCACATACGAGTGCCAGCCGCATGCTCTTCTCTACTCGTTACAACTTTATCAACCTGAAGAGAGATAAATTATTGTTTAAAGTTCTCACCTGATAAGATAGATTTGCAATTCCAGTCATAAAGTCATCTGATTTTCCTTTTATATGAATTAAAATTTTTTAATTTAAATGGAATAACTTATTGCACATGCCAGATAGATTTCATCGTCGCATCCACCGCAATTTTCCTGAGCTTTAGGTCCAGTTTTATAGGCGACACATTCTACACAGTCTTTTAGAATATCACAGTCACTGCCAGAACAAGCTTTGGGGTCCTATCGATAAAAACAGATAAAAACAAATAAATCAATAAAAAATGACGTGTTAATCGCCCTTCGAATTAAAAAACAACAATCGTCCATAATTATAAAAATTCCAGGGAAAAGTTATGAGAAGAATAGAGGAACACTGTGCATCATCACAGACCTCACGAATAATTTGAACAGACTATTTTTACCGAGTGGAAAGAGCGTAAATATTCATCACAAATGTGGCTCACCTCGCAATAAGCATTTTGACAGAATTCCCCAGAATAAATGCTCGGTGGATCACAAAAGCACTTTCCACACTTGCACTTGCCCCGACCACTGCAAATTTCCGTGTTCTTTCCAGGTGGAAGACAAGCTTTGTCCCTGCATTCACAAGCTGTACCGCTCCATCCTATATCGCACTTGCACGTGCCGCATACGCACTCGCCATGCTCATTACAAATCTTGAAGAAGCAACAGAACAAGTGGTTTTAGATGCCAACAATCTCCCAGATGATAGGTGCAAACTACTCCCATCGTTTTTCAACACCTCATCATTCTCATTCTCATTCGGAGATAATATAAATATAATATACCAACCCGATGACGACCACCTTCGGTTACCCGCTTGCAGGAGAAGTTGCTGCACTCGCAAAAAGGTCCGGAGTACTGTTGATTTGGCAATGGACCAGGTGAACACGTGCATTTGCCACATCTGCATGCACCACGACCATTGCAGATGGACGTGTCATTTGGTGCTCGACATTTTTCTATTGAATTTTGTTTGATCGCTGCATCGTCACCGGTGCAAGCACAAACATCATCGTAGAAACCCTCGCGACAAGCGCACACACCGCATATCAATGTGCCATTGTAATTGCATTCTTTTGCCATCGGTACGTGACCCTTCAATCAGTTATCATTATTATAATTAATGATTAGACCCTACTCGTTTTAATTGTGTAATCGTTATTTATCGGTTTTTAATAAACTGTAACAGTAATTAACGATTTTAATGAAATCAATCAATTCTCATTGAGATATTAATTGTGTTATTTAATTTAATTTAATTTAAGATTTCATTTACGATTTAATTGTGTAATTCTTGTCAACGTAATTAATCGGAAATTAATCAGGAATATTTAATATTGAAGAAATATTTCTTGTAATTACTCCGAAAATTACAGTCAAAGATAGAGATGTGAGTATTTAAATTTTTTATCTTACGGGAGCTCCTGGTTCGTCGCAGGGACACCCACAGATTAATTCGTAGTGGATCTTAAGGTTTTCGTTTAAGCCCTGGGGTCTTATGAAAAAGGACCCCTTCAGGAGGCTCTTGTCCGTGGGACATTCGGTGACTGTCACGACGATGTCGAACTCCACGACGTCGCTGTAGTGGAGTCCATCGCAGGAGTCTGTTTCCTTCTTTGCAGATCCACTCAGGCACGATGATGAGTATTTTATGTCGATGAAGTCTGGGGCCGTGTCGATTAAAGTCACAGAAGTCACTAATTTCTGGTGTAATCATTTCTAATTATTCATCTAATATATCTTAATTGATAATTCAACGATATTTTTACCGGAAGTCAACGAATTTTCATTGAGTCAAGGGATAACGACAGAGATTCAAATTTCAGAATGAAATTTGATTTTTTAACAATAATTTTAGGTGTAATAATATAATATATTAATCGTATAATTTATATTAAATAAATTTCTAGTAATTTTCATAATTTTAAATCGTAATTAACTTTTCTGATTTACTCCCTTAAATTATGTTAGTCAGCTGTCCTGAAAATCGGTAGCTGGGGTATTTTTCCCTGGAGAAAATTTCCCGGAGGAAATTTCCCGGAGAAAATTTCCCCGCGGGAAATTTGTCTTGGTAATTTTTCAGGAAATTATTTCGTTTTTTTTTGTTGGAATCTGCGGAGGAAGACGAATACCTTATATTCGTCTCGGATGAGGTCGATGACAGCTGACCTGTCATCTTTTTCGATGATGCCAACAGCAGAGTCTTGAATACTTTCACTCAACAACTGGTAAGTTGTATTTTTTGTCGCAGGCACTGCGAAAATTATGTGAATATTGCGTTCTCGGGCCTGTTTACGGATTTGAGCGAGTGATGGGTAGTCCTGGAGGAGCGAGTGGCTGTAGGTTCCGGATGAATCCAAGTGACATTCGCAGTCATTCGGTTCGATGATTCCCGCAAGCTTCGATAAAAAAAATAGAGAAATTGCGAAATAATAAATCCTTCAATTACACTCGGATGTCCATTCAGTGAGAAAGAGATAAAGTGCAACGATTTGGGGAATAGAACATTTTTTTAAATCTGTGAATCTCAAAAACATCATTAATTTACTCTAACTTTTTTTTATCTAAAAAAAAAATCTACTCTAACTTGATTTTCATTTCATTAAAAAACCTGAAAAATCATGTCATTTCTTTGAATATTCACTCATATTTCAATTTCCCCGTCCACGTGACGGCGAAAATTGGAGAAAACAGTAGAAAACTCGAGTGATTATTTTCCGAATCGTCAGACTATTCGAAACTTGATCAAATTGATTTATGAATTATCATGAAAAATTATTTGAAAATTAAAATTATGCATTTCATTGAATTTACATAAAAGGGAGCTTTCATGAACATCGAGAAATTAATCATAATCGTTACTGAATGTTAAACAAATTTCTACCAGTGCAGATTGGAAGAGAATATTAATGATAATGGTATCGGGTTTAATCATGAGTTCGATGGGTTTTCAACCGGTTTGTGGTATGAAAAATATTGTCAATAGATTGATGGAGATCGTTAAACTCACTCTACCATCACCAGCCATGTGTGAACTGGCGTCTGTGCAGAAGACAAGAAGGTGTCGAGCTTTTTCACTCCATCCAATTCTCTCAGGGCAGACCATCGCCTGCATCAGGGCGTCAAATCCACCCTCTGGGGCATCAAGATTTCCGGAAATCGGAGCCGCCTTCACTTTTCTCTGGAATGTAATAATTACACAATTAATTCTTTCAGAAATTTCTGACTCGATTGAATGAATTTGTGTGAATTTTGAATTTCTGAATTGAAGTGGATTTTTATTACAGTGAATAATTTGTCATCGTCACTCAGGGGCATCTGATGCTTGTAGCCGTAAGGAGGGGCGCAGTCACTGCATGGTCTTTCTATTCTGGAAATAGTTATAGAAATAAAATAAAAACAAATTCAATCGTTGGTCCTCATTTCGAAAAGAGTGGCATGAGAAAATGAGAGGAATAATTGCGGGAAAATGGAAAATACATTAAAGAATATCGAAAAAATTATGGGAGAGTGTTTCTTTGAAAACCATTAGAGTCTCTCAATTAATGTCTATTGTTAATAAAAATTGTTTGAAAATTCTCATGATTTAATGATTCAGGCGTCTTTTTTAATAAATTGTACAATCTCATTGACTCGTGTAAACACAAAAAGCTCTTGCAGGAAATTGATACCTAGCTGGAGAAGTATCCGTCATCGGAAGAGCAACTTTATCAACAAAACTGCCGAATCCAAGTTTGAATTTTGAAGTTAAATTTCTCATGGTGGTAGCCAACTCTTCCCCGAGCTCGGACAAGTGCTCTCTGTACTGGTACATCGACCTGGACAAGTCCATCAGGTAGTACATGTCCACGGGGTAGTCCTCGGCCTGAGTGTATCTCAGCTTCAAACGAAATCCGTCCTCTAGAAATCGGAGCATCATATGAAATCGAAATTAATTAAAAAATCCAAAACTTCATTACGTTTTCGCAGCCTCAGGTGAATCTCCTGCGGCTGCACCTGCACCGGCTCCACTCCCTTCTTCGAGGACAATGACTCATTCTTCTGAACAGTAATTGAAGAGACTTCGTCGATGACTTGATGACCGAAACACCAGTCTCTTCCGTCTTGCATTCGTTTTTCATGGAATTTTCTCGGGATGCAACGGTTTTGAATTTTTTCTGTCTCTTTTAATCCCTAGGGAGATTATTTTTATTTTATTTTTCATTCACGGAAATTTCTGGAAAACCAGAAATGATTAAATTGATATTAAAAAATATACCGGTTATTAATTCTATCGTTATTCACTGACTAACAAATTTTTTAAATAAATCCACTTGTTAGGAATTTCGGAGATTTTCATTGAAAGCTGTGAAGGGGAAATTTCAAAAATATGAATAATAATATTAATAATAAATAATTACTAACTGTAGCTGGACACCAGACACAAGAAGGTGTTTTTATGCAGTCGGCGCACTTCACCTGCGCGGCGCATTCCACCTCATCTTGATGATCATCACCCACACAAATAGCCACAACACTCAAAAAAACAATTGTAAAATCCAAAGCCCTCATTTCTTAACTTTCGAATGACTTGGAAACCAAGAAAAACTAGTGAGAGCTCGACGTGGTGGACGGATACTGCGGCATCCCGCGGAAATGACTCCACGAGATAAGTCAACGCTGCGTCATAACACAATTATTATTCCACCAGTGTTTTTAGTCGGAGGATTACGTGGACATTTATTTCCAGCATCAGCCTTCGATTTTCTATTTCAATATTTGCCATACTTGCTATTCACGTCTGGTATCCATAGTCATGTGCGAATAGAATAAACAGATGGAATTAATTCAGTAATCAAGTGTCAAGTCCGATTTTCGGAAGATATCTCCGAATCTAAAAGAGATATCGAAATTTTTCTAATGAGCTCTTTTATAGAGCGTAATAAGACCCACAGAAAAGGTAATTACAACAATTTTGATATTTTTTGTAGATTCAGAGATATTCCTCGAAAAATGACCGGTTGTAATCGACTTGTTCTCCGGTACCAGTTAATTACAGAATTATGAATGAAGTCCTTTATATGAAAGTAATTCAGAGAATTATACTGTATAACGCAAGACTATTAATATAATATAACAATTTATGGATTGATATAATAATTTATTAATATAATGTAACAATTTCTAGTGCAGAATTGAATCGCCAAAAAAATTATTACTAATTATTACTAATTAAAATAGAAAAATTATTATACTATTTCCTGGAATGATTATTCAGTAGTCATTTATTAAATTATCATATGCAGATTTGTAGTTCGTTGAATGAATTGTTCAGTGAATTACTCACACGTTTTATTAGTCACTCGACAGTGAAGCTTGAGTAACGGATTAATCACAGCGATGATTCTCACGAATCGAATGAGCGCGAGATCATATTTTCAAAATGACTCTGATTAATGCGCGAGGTCATGAACGAAGCAGCACTCCATTTTACCTACCGTAAAAAAGTTAGAGAATATTATTTACCTGAAGACTCCTCCATTGCCGGTAACAATTTTCAAATTTCTATAAAAAAAATTCCGCGAAATGTTTTTTGTCATAAAAATTTATATAACATCATATATATTGTTTATATTTTTTATATTATTTATATTTTTCGATTCCTTTCATTTTTTTTCTATATTTATTTAATAAAACCTTTTTTATTCATTATTATTAATATTAATATTAATTTTTATGGTATAAATATATGGATATATATGTTTATTTCGATATATATATTTATTTATATTTTTTTTCCTTCAAAAACAATAACATTGCTAATGATAAATAACGAACTTCATTTCGTTGATTAAAAATTATTTCTTTTAGATCCGGAATTCAACTCTCGATAAATAATGAATCAGTAAATTACCCCGGACTTATAAATTACCAGTTAAATTTACAAGTTATACAGGAAATTTCTTCGGGATGAGGATTGTCCAGGCAGACAAACGACCCCAACCAATTTCCTCGACAAAGCCTAAAGACTTGAAGAAACCCTTTGATTTTTGCTGTGACGCTCATCGTCAGGATCCAGAGACTCAGTACAATTTGAGAAATCCACCCTTTGACTCGAGTTTTCCGAACACAACTCTCACCAGTGATCGTCCAGACGTTCAGTTCCGGATCCAGGACATTGTGAGACCAGCCCCTAGAGGAATCAGGGGAGGAATTTTTCAAGACAGTGTTGAATTAAAGAAAGCGGAGATTTATGGAAAGTCGAAGAAAGGCCGAGGGCCTTTGAAGTGGTTGTTGGAAGAGGAAATTGAAGTTGCTCGCGATCTTTTAGCTAAAGACAAGAGAATTAAACGGACAGAGGAAATAGAAAAAAAATTTGCGAGGAACAGAGCGAAGAAGAAGAAAATAAAAATCAATTAATTGCTCCAATTCTATAAATTAAAAATCGCAGTAAAATAGAGGATTTGAATAATTTCAGAAAATAGCCGAAGTTCGACGAGAAAGAATTTCTCAATATTCAATCAATAAATCTCTTCTCCAATTTCGTTCTACGTAAAACGGAAGTAGCACTCTTTTTTGAGATTTCCGAGGTGCGAAATTTTATATCCACTTGTCAGGAAACGCTTGATTATGCCTCTGTCATCTGTTGGCTGTAAAATTAAATTGAAATAAAAAAACTCTCAATATTTTTATTACAAAATTTATATTTGAGCTGTATACAAAGTTATCTTCATAATGACGGTGCAGAAGGAACCCTTTGGTTGAATTAAGAAAAATAAAGAAATGCTCTCGAAGTTGAACTAAATAAACCTGTTACACCAATCAATGTTTTATACATTTTTAGATTAACAAAAGCTGCCGCATTAATTAGTACTTAAATAATATTTTTAGTCACTTTTGTAACCGCACTACTTAATTCAAGTATCACCAACTGTTTTATTTGTTCGAAATAAGTCGGGTATTACAATTTTTTATAATACTCTCCAACCAAAATAATAAAATAGAAGAAAGCCGAAATGATCCCAAGAAAAATTAATTTTCAATTAAAAAAAAAATCATCATAATAAATGATAGCGTATATTAAGTGCTAATCATGTCCTAGTAATATTTTTTGTTATCATTTTTTATTGCAGCTCCCGCATAATCTAACCTACTTGATTCTTCCTCATTCTCTTATTCAAGTGTCTAATTAATAATTGTTTTAATTGTTAATAAATATCGTAAAATGCTCCAGGCACTTTCTATCATGTTTTCCGTCTCGTGCTCATGCTCTCAAAATAAAAAATACGACTTCATTAATGAGTAAGTCGAATAAACCCGCAGACAAGTGACAAGAGTGAGGATCAAACATAAAAAATATCTCATTTGTCTTTTCCTTCGCAAATATCTCAGAAAATATCTAGAGAATTTGCAAATTGTACTCTCTACAAAGACCTCTCGAAATAATCTTTCAATTTATCTAGACTTTTTCCCTCACTCCTCCTACACACCATTGGGTTAAAAAAAAAGAAGTAAACCATAAACAAAAAAAAAACGTAAATGAACAAAAAAATTAACAGAAAGCACCTCGACAAACCCTTTTAATCCACTTTATGACACTAATTTCATGACTCACCTAATCACCAAGAAGAAAAAAAGAAATACGTCTTTTCGATGAAAAAATGTCAGTCTTTGATTTTAATCTTCAGGCCACTTCCCCTACCATTTAATAATAAATTCAACTCAATAAGTGAAATTAACTTAATTAATTGCATTAATTGAAGTAATTTGATTGATCGAATTAAATGATTAATTAAATGGTATTTGAATTCTGGGTCATACATCTAAGAGTGGCTCAAGAAACTAGTGGTGAACTCAACTACACTAAATAAAGCTGAAGAATCAGAAGGAATCAGTGGAACAAGAATAATGAATGATATTTAACATTTATGATTTTAGTCTACTTCTCACCGCAATTTAATCCTTTAATGGAAGGGTGAGACTTAATTTAATGTCTTCAATACGGTGGAGTAGATTTTTCACTTCGAGTTGTTTTCAGTCTCGAGAGTGAGTATTTCGTCATCATTCCTCTTCTCGAATTCGAGAATTCGATGATCAGTGACTACTCCAGAGACTAGTTTGTCGGAATGAAGTATCTTGGGAGTTCCCGGGGATTTTGGAGGCTCCATGCAATCCTCAGATTTGTCTGAATCAACGTTCACATTACTCAAGTCACTAATCAAAATTTTTTTCGGACTGACGGATGAATCTGCTTCATCACAAGCCATAATTGGTTCTGCAGTTGCAGAGGGCTCTGTTAAATCAAGTTGAGAGAGACTCTTAATTGTTTCCGAGGTTATTTGATCGTTTAGAAGGGTTGAGTGATGACTCTCCTTCGTTGGGGACTCTTTATCGTCTTTAAGAGATTCCATGGTACTCAAATCCACTCCAGAAATTTCACTGATGCTTTTACCTTTGTCCAGAGTTTCTTGATTAGCTGATCCATCGCTTGGAGCTTCGGCTTCCTCAGAAACTGGATCACTTCCACGGAGTTCATCATCAGGTGCTTCAGAAGGTGGTTGAGAGTACAGTTCGACAATATCATCAGCTGTTAGCTCTCTCATAACAGCTGTAAACTTTCTCATAAGAGATGTTTCCTCTCTGAGCCCCTCCACAGTGTCTGGCCCAATGCTGCCCCCTTCCTCAGGTTTCTGAAGAGTAATATCAGGAGATGAATCGAGCTTATCAGAAATATTGGTTGAAGATTGATCAGAAGTTCCAGTGGCTTCAATTCCTGAAGTGCTACTGGACACATGCCCACTGATGCTCTCACTCTGAAAGACCATCTCTCCTAATCTAGTAACGATCTCCTTCGTTTGATCCACCTTGACGTCCTGCTGGATGTGAATAAAACTGTCAGAAGTCTCATCCAAAAAACTCTCGCTCAAGTTCTGTATCTTCTCGACGTGCTCTTCCAGTTCGTCATCGATATCTGCTGGTTTTTTCTTCTTGCAGAGTGGAGCTAGAATATCCACGACGTCCTGACCATTCAGAGACAATTTAACGAGGCTAGGATCATCCTCATCCATCTCTACACACTCGAAAGTGGTCATCCCGTCAGCTGCAAGTTCGATGAATTTCTCACAAGCCTCTTGTGACCAGCACTCGACGTCCTCTGGAAGTTTGAGAGAAGAGAACATGGACAGGTGTGGGATCTTGATGATGTCCTCTGGTAGAGCCCTGAGTTCACTGGTAACAGCAGAATTTCCGTAATCGATATAAAGTACCTCAGTCTCAGATTCTGAGTGACAGAGAATTTTTGCTCGATACCAGTGATTGTCCTCGGGGAATTTAGCTGCACAGATTGTGCCCTCTGATAGAGTCGTCAATGGAAGAAAACTCTGGGCATTTATCAGGGGCTCTGCCATTAATTCAAGTTCTGCTATTTTGCAGTCTGCCTGCAGCCAAAATTCACTGGGAGATACAGCGTGACTCACCACGACATTTGGCGATGTTTCTTCACCAAGAGGCGACAGCCTCTCCTCAATGGTAGCCACAGGTTTTTCACAGAGTCCTATCAGATCGATGGATATATCAACTCCTTCAAGAATGAGCTTCACCTTGGAAGTCTCTCCCTCCTCAATAACATCGAGAATAAAAATCGTTGCACCGTCATCAGCCATTCTGGAAAACTCCTCACAAGCCTTCTCAGACCACTGCTCAATTCCCTCAGGCAAGGGAAGACAGCATTTTCTGGATAGAGGAGGAATAGCAGCGAGATCCTCAGGGATTTGCCTGATTTCCGTAGAAACCGCTGAATTTCCGTAATCGATGTAAATTACATTGGTCCCAGTATCACCATGAGAGATAACTTTAGCCCTGTACCAATTCTGATCCTCAGGGAACTTCGCAACACAAAGGGATCCTTCCTGGACCTCCTCGATCCTCCCAAACATATCAGCCACCACGAATCTATCAGCAATGGTCTCCAGGTCAGCCACAAACTTTTCCTCCTGCACCCAGAACTCACTTGGAGAATTTATATGACTGACAAAAGCTGCTCTTGGATCGAGTTCCCTGTGAATAATCTCATCGAAGATATCCTCAACTCCGTCGACTTTAATTGCCAATTTTTCCTCCACAAGTTTATCCCCAATGTTCTCATCTCCAACGAATAATTCCAGCCTCTTGGGATTACCATCAGCTGTCACAACGGCATCGATGAACTCCTCAGCTGTCGCCATCATCAGGAACTTCTCGCATGTCCCTTCAGACCAGTCCTCCTCACCGGAAGGTATCAAATCCAATCTGCACTTGATCCCATACCTTTTGATTGACTTCATCGACTCCGGCAGGTATTTTATTCCATTCTTGATATCAGTAATGCTGTCCGTATTCCCAAAGTCAACGAATCTCACTGTCACAATATCCTCATCAGCATCAATGACCTCAGCACGATACCAGAAACCATCAGCTGAGTATGTTGCAGCGCAGAAAAGATTCTCCTCTGGGATTCCCTCCACGTGGGAATAGCTAGGCACTTCTGCCTGGAGTTTCTCCTGAAGATCGTCAATTGCTGGTACGTCTCGGAGACGTTGAATGTAGAACTGGGCTGGATTGTCTGCATGAGTCACTGCCACTTTGTATTTTCCTCCCACAATCATATCCTCGGGTTCTGAGGGATCGATCTCTGGTTTCTTCGGCTCTTCCTCTTGTTGGAGGAGATCCGAAGACCCCAGGATTTGACTTATTTTCGTGCCTGTCGAGTCTTCAAGCTCGACGATCCATTTTGATCGGATGTTGTAGAGAGAGGCTGTGAATTCTTTGTCCAGGAGGAGGGGTTTAAGTGCCTCGAACTGCTCTGATTCGGATCCCTTCAGGTTCACTGACAAGGAGACCTCGAGAGCAACGTGCGGTTTTATCATGTGCTGGGGTTCCAATTCCTTCAGCAACTCGGAGGGGACATGCTCTGAATTCCCATAGTCCAGGTACTGGACGAGGGCTCCTGTCTGGCTACTCTTCAGGATCTTCGCTCTGTACCAGTTCTCATCCTGACTCTGGGCTGCGCAGAGTGTTTGGGGGAGGGCCTGGGGGTTCAGAGGACGTCCTGACGTCGAGTAAAAGTTGAAGAGATCGTCAAGGAGTGACTGTAGCAACGGAATATCAGATACTCTTTGAAGGTAGAGGCTCTTCGCGTGATTTACGTGTGATATTGTCACTTTATTTACTGAGTGGATTATTGGGGTGCCCAGGAGGGGGCAGATTGTCTCCTCCGGATCGTTAGGAGTGATTTTAATCTTCTGGCCAGTTGTGTCAAAGATTGATACTGCGAGTCTGTAAAATAAAACATTATGCAAGACTATTTTATATTAAATATTTATAGTAGACCTAAGTTATAGTTGCGTGTACGGGGCTTTCACAATTTTACAATTTTACAATCTTTTACTTCCACTCTCAGTTGCAGAAATATTTTAACAGGAGTGCAATACTATGAATGATCGAATAGAATTGACGGGTATTTTTGGTATTTTCAAATTTTTTCTTGTACTATCGCTTGAATCAATTCACCTGTTATTATCGACATTCTCAACTCGAATGATCACTTCCTTATTCTCCACAGTTGTCTTAAACTTCATGTCAATATCAGCAGAAGAATTCGCATTCTTCACGTAACACTCGACTGCTTGATTCTGCATAACTGCCAATTGCGGTGGCAACGCCAGCATCTGTATAAAATGAACAAATTAAAACCGACAATTAAAAAGAATGAACAAAAGTGTAACAACGACAGTGGTAGGTTCAATTCCAATTCTCATGAAAAATACATTTCTACTTAAAAAGTAAAATCGTTTACAAAGATGTCCTGACAATTTCTCTCAAAAACATTCATAATATCGAAGATAATTAATCTCCAATAATTATCTCCGCATTAATCTTGAGAGAATGAATTTTGCGGCAAGACACACTGTATTCTCAAGTTATTATTTATGGGTTTAGAGTCGAGGGGAAATGCAGAATTATTTTTAATCCTGAAAATTCATAATGAAGAAATGATGAAGATTATTCTGACGTTAGTTGAGTCGCATGTGTATGGCAATTAATAATATCAGATGAGGCCTAGTGATGAGGATAATGTTTTAGTCGTCCATGTCATCACATTGAATGATAAAACTCACGCAGTCCATTGGTATCACTAGTTTGGCTCCAGTGTCAATGAGCCTGACGTCAAAGCCAGTGGAACGTGAGGTACTAATGACAACGGCACGCTCCCATCCACCCTTGGTTTCAACTAGACAACCTGACCCAAGGAACACCTCACGCTTCGATAGTTTCGCCAACACCTAACATTGGCACACTTCTATTTACTAAACTTTTCATTTTAAAAATTGTCTTTTTGTTTTCGACTGCTTCTGTTTAGTTACTAGCCAAAAGGTGATTATCAAGTTCTGGGATTACGTTACATATTTTACAATTATTAATCAATTATTAATCACATAGAGGGATTTATAATTACTGACAATATTTTTTTTAATAATTCTTGTAGACAGTGCCTGGAATTCCTTTGTTCACTAGAGAAATCATTGTTGTTATTCTAGGAAGAAAAAATCGCGCGGAATTTTAATTAATTGGATTTATAATTAATGAACTATATATCGATTTCGATAATTTATGGGAATTATTAGTCGTTTTTTGATGAATTGTTAAGATTATTGGATTATTGCAAACTTTATTTCAGAAAAGATTGTTATCGATTTGAATATGAAGCGTTTTGATATATCTAAATTCCATTCCTTCTTATATGATTTTTAGTATGCCAATGTAAGTCAATTTAAAATAAATTTAAAGATTATTAATTGAGGTATTGAATGATTTCCGGTTCAGGCAGAATCCGGTGGTTAATCAATCGTAATCAGGAGCTAAGACTCATTAATGATAATTATCAAACCCGAGATCCTTGTACAACTAGCAATTTCTTCACTAACGTTACAAAATTCAATGAAAATGTTATACACAATTCCATTTATCTCAACATTTGGCACTTGTCGCGTCTCGTTTCCATTCAAAATTCAAATTTTAGCGGGATTTTAAAATTACTCGTCTGCGCATGCGCAGGAGTCCAAGCCGCCGCCATTTTAGTGCCTTAAACCAGATAATCGGGAGAGAGCGGGATCAGTTGGCGGCCGATTCGAAAGTCAAATTAGAATTAAAAATGTGAATATTTTCGGTGAACTTATAGGGTAGGATAATTTCAGTTTTCTATTCTGATCTCAATAAATTGATTCAACTACTTACGATTACCTGAGCACTTTCTTTTTCCCAAATCCCAGGTTTTAACCAACAGAATTAATTACGAATCAAAACTGGTAATTTACCACACATCGTGCGAGTCAACTGGTCAGTCATTTCATCACAACACAAATGTATTGGGAGCTTGTTAAAGGTAAGGATTCACAAGCAATTGTTATTACAGTATCAATTAGCAAGTCTCGCCAATTATTCATATACCGTATCTAGCAGTTATATATAATAAAATTTAAACAAGTTTCGGGCGTACAAATGCATTTTCCCAATTATGCAAATCTCTTGACGAATTCATTTACTAGAAAACTCTTCTGACATTTCTCCTAAAACCTGATGAATACTAAAATCATTGCATAATTCAGAAAAAATTGTATCATGCGAAATTATTTCCATATTTTTTATAATTAATGATACGAAATATATTGGAAATTAGGAGATAAATTACACAGATCATTAATAACTTTTTTAAAATATCTCCCGAACTAAAAGAGACAGCGGAATTTTTATAAAAACTATTTTTCTATTTCTCATTCCACTTTACGAAAAACTTCTCATAAAAATTCAATTATCCCTTTAGTTTTGGAGATGAAAAAGAGCGAAAAATTCGCCGAAAGGGCCAGCCAACTAATTTCCTTTTTCATTTCGCTACAAAATTACAAATCGATTACTCTCATGATATTCCCCTACTCTACAAAATAATTAATTCATAATAATAGTAATAGTGTCATTCTTCCAGTAATTTTCCTTCTCATCAAAGTTCGTATAAAAAAACATGACAATCATGCTGAGTTATCAGTAACCATACTAAAACTAGCTACTCAACACGATCTCCCAAAAAGTAACACCAAACATTTAAATAAAAGAAATTCTTACCTCAGCACCCTTCCCAGCCATGAATTCAGCGATGCCCTGCTGGCACTGATCAGCAGAAGGTAGTAAAACATGAAAGCGTCCAGTCCCTTCGACATTGGACACTCTGACCCTGAGAGTCTGTCCTTCCAACTTGCTGATGTCGATCCTCACAGGTTGCTGCTCACTGATCCCGTTCTCCTGTACCTGTCCATCAGTCTCAGGTTGCCCTGGCTCAACAGTTTCCACAACCTCTGGGACACTCGCCGAGACCGCAAAATCAGCAAGTCTTTTCTCCACCATGACCCCCGCGAGGTCCTTTCCATCCACCATCATCGACACCGTGTACTTATAATCCTTGACCTCGTGGAAGCAGCACTCGAATTTCTCCACATTAAAAAGTTTCTCAATCTCATGAGAATTGGACTTGACCCAGTTATCTCCACTGACAGGAATAACATTCTTCAGAGTGCAGTTGAACGCTTGCTTGGGCATCTCCATGAACTGCTTCTCCACCCTGAATGTTTTCTTGGCCTCCACCATGGCGCAATTACCAAAGTCTACGTATCTCACGATATTCCCCCTGAGTTTATTGAGCTCGAGTACCTCAGCCCGATAAAACGCCCCATCCTCAGCAAAAACAGCGATTACAGCACTCCCCACCTCCAAAGGCTCCTGCATAGGTGTTCTTCCAGCGTAAACCCTCTGGATCTCAGTCATCATCTTCTTGAATTCATCCTCAGCTTTTAATGATTGACAGTAAAAATTATGGGGATTCAGGAGCCAAGTCACCAAGACTTCAATTCTCTCCTCAAGATCGACAACACGCTCCTTCCACTTGTGATCGATGAGGGCATAATCCGGTGGTGATGATCTGGGTCTTCTCGACAGGTTTGAGGTCCTACTCTTATTTCTAGACAACTCCTTAGCCCTCACCAGATCGACACCATCGCTGTACTGCTCGTTGATGTACTGCACATGGGGCACGCCGTCTACAACTTCTCGAAGAAGAACAGTATAAATTTTCTTCTCGAGCCCAACGAACTCAGCCTCCAGGGTTTTCAGCTCAAGAGCTGCTGTGAATGCCTCTACTTCCTTGGAATCCCAATCCTTTTCAACAGCTGCCAAGAGCTTTACGTGAACTGCCTGGGCTGATAGCTTACAGACCTCTTCCGTGATGTCCTTGATTTTATCAAAAGGGACAACTTCAGTATTTGCATAATCCACGAATCGCACTTTAGCACCAGCTGGTGTTACTTCCTCCACAGATGCTCTGTACCACTCTGAGTCCTCCGAGAACTGAGCAATGCAGTCAGTTCCAGGTTTGAGAGAAGTCTCAGGTATTACCTGACCACCTGATTTGTAGATCTCAGCTATTTTCGCCATTACTCCCTCGAGCTCTTGAAAATCAGGGTGAAGAATGACCCAGAAATCCAGAGGGCTCACCATGTAGATGAGTTCGCAGTTCTTGATGGCTCCCAGGGTGATATTGGGGGGTGGAATTTTCAGCTGTTGAGATTTTTGAGGTTTAGGTGGTGAGCAAGAGTTGGAGGATGAATTGGACGGGTGAGAGTGTGCAGAGGCGGGTCTTCTGGAGTCCCTGGAGTCCCTGGAGTCACTTGGACGTCTGTTATTGCCACCAAAATCTCTAGGAGATCTTCCTCGAGGAGCATTTGAGTGGTTCAGTGATTTTGGGGATCTAAAACTGCTTTCATTGGACTCAGGGTCCCTTGGGGATCTTTGGAAGTCGTTTCTTGGGGGTCTGTTGCTTCCTCCTCGGGGGGGACGTTCTCCGCGTCTTCCTCCACTTCGTGAAGAGGTGTCCGAGTCTTTGTCGCTCCAGGATTTCTCCATCGAGGTGTTTCGCTCTGATCTAGGAGGAGTTGAGGGTTTTGAGCGGTTGGATCTGTTGAAGTCGTGGGGAGAGCGTTCGGAGTGGTTGTCGTTGCGATCCTGGCGAGGGGGATCTCTACTCGGTCGATCGTTTCGAGGGAATCGATCGTTCTGAGGGGCTTTCGCCCACTCCTGGGGCCCGTTTCGTTGCGTCTGGATATCCTGACGCTTGAGCTCGTTCTCCTCGTCCTTCCACGTCTTCTTTGGGAGATCTGAGGCCTTCCAAGTGTCGGATTCATCGCTGCGAGGAGCAAAGGGTGAGTGGATTCCAGAAAGGGAATGCCTTTTTTTATTTCCAAATTAATTTTTATTTGATTGTGCACTGATGCTGGATGACCGTGATATTTTTCATTACTGGGATTTTAATTACTTCTTATTATTGTGGATTTCATTGAACAAAATTTAGGGTGCTCAAGCTGTATATGAATGCTGAGGATGAATTACACTGTTAGAAATTATTTACGACATTGAATTTTGAGTTTTGTGAAGTTAATTAAGGATTAAAATATTTGTGCAATTAGTTAGTTAATTACGAATTGATTTTTTGCTGACCAATACTCCATTTTTTAATGAATCGCGAATTTAGGTCATGTTGGAAATTGAATTTCCCGGGAATATTCAAAAAAGCAATTTTTCAATAGTTTTAGTAAAACGTGAATAGTGGTGAGTTGTTAAAAATTCTAACTAGATTTTTTTTCGAACAGTGTAGAAAAGCCAGATATAATGCGTTGCGATTTTGGCAGGACGAGATGAATCAATTACAGTTAGGCTTTAATTTTTTCACTTCCTCGACATTGACGGGAAAATTCCCATAATTTTTTCATATTCACGGATGCCTATAAAAAAAAACTCTCTAATATAATTTGACTCATCGCGTTCTATGAATTTGCTTGCATTTTTAAGAGATTATCTTGCAAATAATAGATTAGAATTAGATAATGTGAAACTGGAAATTTGAAGATATTTGCAAAATAATCAGGATTGAATTTCTAGACGCGTTTTTGTCCTTCCCTTCCCTGACGTTAAACATTAACTTTCACAAATGAATACAGAAAGCATCGGCTTGCAGAATATTTTTTCATCATCACTTTACCGTGAGTGTCTAACGTTTTTTGATTTCGACTTTTGTGGTTGGCCCTGGGGTTGGGTTTTTACACCGGACCTGCATTACAATTATTTTGTTTATTTAAAAATCCTTAATCGATTGAATATTGGGAAAACATCCCAATCAATCGAAACAGCAATAATACTAATAATTATACTAATAATTATAGAGACCGACATCTCCGAGGATTGAAATTCAAAAATTCTTCAAGAAAATACTCACCTTCTCCCACGTCTCGAAGAGGAGGTCGGCACGTCATTCTTAACCGGTGCCTCAGTCAATGTTTTCTGCTGAATCTTTTTCATCTCCTCGAAGAAATCCATCGTAGGTACTGCATTCTTATCGAACAGTTTCACCACAATTCCCTCAGTATGATGATCGAGCACTACCATTTCCAGTACCTTATCCATGACCATTTTCTCAAACTGATTATCAAGGTCATCAGAAAGATCCTTCCCTTGAAAATCACTGAGTGCACATTTAATTGCCAATGCTGGGATCCTGGTAAGCACCTCTCCCCCGACGATCCTCAACGCAGACGTCGATATAATCTCATTATTTCCATAATCAACGTAATGAACAACTACTTGATTCCCAGACAACTTGATTACCTTAGCCCTGTACCATTGAGAGTCAACATTACAATGTGCAAGGCACTTGTATCCAGGTGTGATAGATGCAGGCTTGACAGGAGGTGCAGTCTTAATGCACTCCTCAAGAGTACTTGTCAATTTGTTCAGGGTATTCGTGTCGTCATCAAGTTGAATGTAAAATTTGCTGCATCCCTCCACATAGCAGACATGAACGAGCTTCTTGACACCTCTGTTCAAGAGTCTCCTCTCAGGCCAATTCTCAGTGCATCCGGGAAATTTAGCAATCAGCATTTCCAGGATATTCTTATCATTATCCCAGAGGTGTCCATACTGCATCAGTGGTGAGTCTTCTGGTGGTACCACATCCAGAATCATCCTCTTGCCCTCGACGAGTTCGTGAAAATATCTCTTCATCTCCTCACTGACGATTAAATACTGCACCCTGCTCAGAGTGAATCTTATCGAGAATACGTTGGGATGAGCAAACTCCAGGGGCAGCTCGTAGATATCAGAGTGAGAGAGGATCTCACTGGAGCCATAATCGATGTAGAAGACTTTTGCTTGAAATGAATCTGTTACTGAACGAACAACTGCTCGTCTGAGAGTACCATCCTTGGAGTAACGACCCAGACAAACTGATCCTGGAATTGGGGGTTCTGACAGCAGCTTCAGAGGGCAAGAGCTTATGCGCTTCATCAGGGCTACGAGCTCCTCCAGGTTCTCCTCAGGTTGAACAGCAAATTTCAGGGGTCCATCTTCCACGAAGGAAATTACCACTGGATATTTTCGATATTTCAAGACTCTGTTCACCATTGATTGAGCAGTTTTTGGAGTGGATTTTATCGGGGAGTGATGGCGGTGAGGGTTTGTCGTGGAGATGGGGGGGTGAGAACGTGGTGGAATGTAGAGGGGTTGCTGAGGAGTCTGCTGACGCCAGTTCTCTTGGGTCTGGCGAGGATAGTTTTGGTAATTCTGGGATTTCGGTTTTTGGTAGATGTGGTTGCTGTGGTAGTTGTGGAGATGAGTGTGATTCAGGGCGTCAGAGGGTGGGTAGTGGTGGTGAGGGGGGTGGTGTGACTGTGAGGGGTAGTACTGCTGCATGTTTGGACGATTCTGGCGGTATTGGCTTGAGGGGACTGCTGGCAGTGGCATAGGTACGTTGAGTAGACTGGAAAATAAGAGGTTAATATTAGGGAAGAAATTCTCCTGAATAAATTGAATGAAAAAAATTGAATTATCGTTATCTATCTATCTACCGCGAAATATTGATCTTTTTTCGAATATTTGTCGGTTATAAATAAAGTTTAGTAGTTCCTATCGGCAAAACGGGAAAACCAATTCTTTATAGGAAAAATTATTGATTTCTATCACATCTAGTAATAAAACATTCAGATTCGAATTTTTAATTATGATGGAGACTCCTATTTTAAAAACTGGGTTGAATCCTCATTTTTTAATGTTATCTCCTTGAAAACCGAAATGATAATCGGATCCCAACGCATTTGAGTTCATTCACCAAGAAAAAATAGTGAGGCGAATCTTCAATTCATATTGTTCTTTATGGGTTCATCCAAATCACGCCTGAAGATCTAAATATTTACATATATCCGGGGAGGAGTTTTTGACGATAAGCGTTTGACGCCGGTATGAAAATCAAAACAATTGCGGCATCCAGAATAAACAACTCGGGATCAGTCTGTTTTTCTGAATACTCAAATACCGAGAATATTCAGACATAATTAAAAAGTAAAAACACACATTTCCTAGAATATTCTGCATTCGGAATAAAAATTTCTTTCATCCTCGTAAAAAGAACGAGACACTAATTTTATCCGATACATCGAATTCGCTCAGACAATCCAGATATCCAATATCTTTTTCTCAAAAAAAAAAAAAAAAAAAGAAATAAACCCTGAATTCTCACGCTCAACCCGACAAATCACTGAACGATGAAATGGTAAAAAATGATAATAAAACCGCCAGAGTAAAAAAAAAAATCTTACTTAGCCAGATCCTCGCTGGTAGCAGGAATAGCCATTTTCTTATTAATCATGAACTCGGCGTAATCCTCGCCATTGAAGAAGAGCTTGAGGGTCTTCTTGGTGTTTTTGAGAACCGAGCAACAAATTCCTGGCATGTAAATATACCTCAATGTGAGTTTGATATGATCAACGAGAGAGGGTTCCCAGGAGTCCTTGAAAGGCAGGACATCTGCCATGATGAAGTCTGTGGCAGCAGCCGGCATATCCTGGAGCTGAATGCTCTCCGGGGTGTTATCCAAGATCCTAATGCTCTCATACGACACAGTTTCGACATTTCCGTAATCCATAAAGTGCACGAATACTGTTCCATTTCCACTGTTGGGTCTCACGATTTTCGCTCGATAAAAGGCATCCTCGTGAAATGCACAACAAGTCATACCTGGTCTCAATTGTGTATCACGCTGAATGGCCCCAAATCCATTCTGAAAGGCCTCATTCATCGACCTAATCAGAGACTCGATCTTCAGTCCAGCATTTTCTTCAACTTGACCCCAAACCCGAAGGAGAGGTCCTTCTGTGTCCACGTGAGTCACGTAAATGTTGAATTCCCTGCCCGGTGCAACAACTGTCATCTTGTCCTACTTCCGATGACCGTTGTAATTCTCTTCAAGAAGAATTTAACCTTCTACCACACAATCTCGTTGTCCCACAACATTCAAATGTCTTCTAGACACTTTTGTTTTTTCTCTCTTATTCTGAGAACTTATCGATTTTTCCAAGATGATTGTTTTAGTGACAGTTATTTTTTTCGCAAGTTTGGCCAGGCTCGAGTAAATTGAGAACGAATATGGAACCTGCACTAACCGGAAACGAAGAGTGTTTAGTGGGTCTCGGGGGTCTCGGGATTTTTAATTGTTATTGAGATATTTCATTGGAGATTTAGAAATTTTTGCGATCTGGGGCGATGATTTTGCATACCTGAGACTAGCGGTCTTCGGTGATTTCAATCGAGTAGGTTTCTCGGTCACTTCTGTTTGTTCCCCTTGTCAAAGTCTTGTTTAGGCGCCCATTGTTCTTTACGAAGTGAAGTCGTAATGAGGAATGTAATCAAAGAGGGGATCAAAGAGGATTGACTAAAGTAGAGGCTCAGTTCTGGGGGTTGGAGTGACCCCAGCGGAATCGTAGTACTGCACCCTAAGAGAGTGAGGGCGCCACACGCAATGGGGGTGTCTCGATTGTCGACTCTGCAACAATCGACCTTCAAAAGTTCGATTTTCAATCAAAAAAACTAACCCAGTGCTATCACCTCTGCGAAATCACCCAACGGACAAAAATAATTTCATGACGAAAGACCAAATCGTCACCAAGTGCTACAATTAAATTGACCTTGAGACTCCGCTGATACGTCCCACGTTTCCACCGACTCATAAAATCCCATTGAAAGGTAATCTTCATAAATCTCCGAAGGTTAGGATCATCGAACTCCTCTGAAATGTCAAGCATCTATTTTTACTCATAAAACGCATAAAACGAATGTAGTTTTGCACCGAACATCGTAGCATGTCCTCCAGTTTGTGTGTTACCTCTTTCGATTTATGTTCCAAAGGTGATGACAACTCTCATACTGGGCATTGGCCTTGGATTGTTTATAATCGTGACACTCTGGCTATCGGCTGGACTGATATTCGCTGTTGCTCTGAGAACTGAGAAGAGAATCGGGGGTTTCGCTGTTGCTGTTGCTGCAGTCATAACCATTATTTTGGTCAGTGTACCGAAAAACTCGGAGTATCCAAGGTCACATCACGAAAAGGTAATTCTTCAGAAATCATCTGAATGCTTCTTTATTCAATTCAATAAATTCCGAAAGAAATGACAATCAAATAATAATGATAACGATAAAAATAATTGTTTTGAATGAGAAAATCAATAAATCGTTCTATTATAAAAAATAATAAATAGAAATATTATAGTAATAATCATATTATGTCATTAATAATCAGTAATATTAGAATATTTATTAATTTTAAGCGTTCAAATGGAACTCGTAATTTATACCACTGAATTTTTTTTTTAGTCTTACGATCATCTCTTCATTTGGCGAGTGATCCTTCTGACGCTCTTGGCAGGCTCCTCCCTGGTGGCCCTGATCGCCTACATCAAGTACGAACTGATGGAATCCAGAAGGCCCAGAAAAATAACCACCTGGATATTCTAGTCGCCATTGAATCGCTCAGTAACCGTAAAAAAAGAATTTTTTTGAGCTGCATCTAGACTCAGTATGAAACTCTGAACAGCTCAACCTCAAAAAAATTCATTACAGTACAATTGAATTAGCAAATAGCTCTTTAAAAATGTTGCGTAACGTAAATATTTTTCGACTGTCGAGGAGAGCAATTTCGCTGCTCTCTAGGAGCAACAAAAAATTTCAAATAACCGACAATACTGAGTTCATCTCTAAAGTGATGAATAGTAATGTTCCAGTTATAGTGAATTTTCATGCTGAATGGTGCGATCCTTGTAAAATATTGACACCAAAGCTGGAGGAATTGGTAGGTCCCATGGAGGACCTTCATCTGGCTATTATCGATGTTGAGCAAAATCCTGAATTGGTGCACACGTTTGAAGTTAAAGCAGTGCCTGCGGTCATAGCTGTCTCCAATGGTCTAGTTGTTGACAAATTCATTGGACTCGTTGAGGCCGGAATGATCGAGAACTTAATTAATAAATTGAGAAAGCCTGGAGTTAAAACTCAATCATAATTCTTGTCAATGTGCCTTTCGCTCAATTTCGTTTTAGATTTATTACATTTCATACAAATATCTAGTGAATATCAACGAATTAATTCCCATTATTTTTCCGAGAGCTTCATATTAGGGAAAGCTCATCAAATAATTAAACGCGAAACCGTGATTTTCTCAAATTAATTGGATAAACATTCGGTAGAACCGATAAACTCTTGGAAATTGGATGAAAGGTACATCACATTCTCAACAGAATGTTTTCAAATATTCAAGTGATAAATTTGCCAGTGTGACTTAGTTTTATATCTTTTGACTTTAACCGAATGAATTGAGAAACCTGTTTTCATTGCCGTATGTTTTGACGAATATCTCGGAGTGAACTGAAAATATTCAAATTTTGATATTTCTTCATCAGTTCTGAGATCCAGAAAACGTACGATGAATTGACTGAGCGGTGCTGCTGTTGAGGTAAATATATCCAATGAAATATTGAAATTGAAAATAAATATGGAACTGGGAGATTGAGTACACGTGTTCAATTGTAATTATCACTATTATTGTGGTTTGTCTCTTGAAAAAAGTAACGTCTTTTAATTTAGTGCAATGAGAATTCTCATTATTTTTCTGAAATAAAATTGTATCATAGACTTTGTTTCAATCTTCGATAGTGCAATTTTTTAAGTGCTACTGCATATTTACAAAATGTTCTTTTCTATGTCTCGTTTATAATATATACATTCGAGATAATAAACGAATAAATCAGAGGGTCTCACAGTTCTTTGCTCTTATGCTGTATTGATCCTCTTGGATAATTCCGTAGTGAAGTGCCGAAGAAAGGAGATGAGTCCAGATAATTTTTAATTCATTATTTTTCTATACTGATTGGTCTGGAGCACAAAATATTCCAAATTTTTTACTCCCAACTCATTAATCTTGGAGTTTCTTCAAAACTTAAAAACTAATCGATCTACATCATAGGAAACTCCATTCATTCCTCTTGAATCGATATTATAACGCTAATAATTCATTAATAATTTTTATTTATCAATTGTATCTTTAATATGATCAGATTTACACTATTTCATGATTCTCTTGCTGGCCTCGTTGATGTCGAGAGTTTTTATGAAATTTTCTAGCGTAAGATCCAGGTGTATCATCTTTCGAAAATTATCCCGATTTTTTCGAAATTCTTATCACAAATCTCCACTAATTGTCATTTTCGCCTGCATAAATAATCGAAATTCCAGAAATTCTGGGTGAGCAATAGATAAAGTGGAAGAAATATTTTTCAGAGGATTTTTCTTTCTGTTTATGTCATACAATCATAATTCTTTGTAAGTCAAAAGATTTTTTGCGAGTCAAAAGATGATTCAACTGATCTTAATATCTTAATATTTTTTTCTGTTGATTACAAATTGTATTGAGGAAATTAAAAATAGCGTGGCTTATTCATATAAATTTGCTTCTTGAGCTTTTCATTTTCCATATAATTATTCGATTCGTATAACTCATTTCCTCTGCTCCTGTTCGAATCGATGGAATTCTCACGGGGGCAGGGCAAATTGAGTTACTGATAATAGAGATAATAGGCCGGTAACAGTTGCATTGATCGAATTTTGTTCTCAATATTTTTTTCTACGGGAATTCATTTTCTCGACTCTAATCGATGATTCGTTACACTAACCGTCCCCAGCAATTGAAAGACTAGCTAAGTATTTCATCTCTTGTTATTAATTATTATTATTTTTCATCATCAGTCTGGCGTCGAACGATAACACCACGATAAGGCAATGCTGTGATTCGCTGGTTATTTACACAATGAAAAGTAAAAGAAATGTTAAAAGATTTATCACTTAAAACCCTATAAAAACACTGATTCTTTAAAAATAATATTCATCAAATAGAAATTTATTATCATGGAAAAAATATTAAAAATATCATGATTTCACCTTATTCTCCCTCAATAATGATCACTGAAAAATTGAATTACAATGATTTTAAAAATCTTGACACCAGCAAAAATGTTTGAACTTCAGTTAACAATTAGTAAGTAACGTTTTTTTTTCAATAATAAGAAACGAAAGAAATGAGATTGAGCAGTTGCTGAGAATTGGAATAAGCCAACGAATGTTGAGACGTGGATTTGTTTTTTACTGGTAATTTTGCGAATATTCCAAGGACAAATCCCGGGAAAAAACGTGATAAGAGACGATAGGGCAAAATGGGAACTCCAAATCCTTTCCAAATTGTGAATCCATTTTTTTTTTACAAATGGATAATTTTTCCCTTGAGGGATTAATTTCCCTCTGTTATGAGATCAACCTCAGCTCAACTGATTTAATTAATTAATTAATTTCTTTTCCGTATATTGAAAATTTAATTGCAACGTTTTATTTAATTAAGAAAAAATGATTGAAGTACCCATTGTACCGCAGTCCCTTCAATTCACGTAATAAATTCTGCCACCTCATCCCTGATTTCTTCCATGAAGCAAAAAACAACCTGAATTCAGGTCCAGTTGAAGTGTTTTTGGCTGAAAGATATGTTCCTCCATCGGGAATTTTTATTCACCTCAAACATCCACGGAATTAACACAATATATTCGATACTTTGTTGTCCTTCTCGCCCACATATTCAACCTCTTAAACAATTACTTTTCATTTGGCTATCTACAGCTTATTGACTAATATATTTTTTCATAGTCTTTTCTTAAAAAAAATTGTAACAAAATTGTAGAAAAACACGAATGACGATATTTACAATTCTTGACAGCCGCATATTTCTATTATTTTGGTTAATACTTTGTCGTTGCACCTCAACATCAGTTAAATAATTCTCACAGAAAACAACGACAAGAGTATTTACTTCTATATACAGTGGGTCAAATTCCAAATTTTCTCATTGACAATTGGATAATCCCCAAATAACACACGATATTTTACATAATATAGTACAACATGTTTGGTATATATGATTTTTCTCCGCAGAGGTAGATATCCCGGGGATTCGGAGATTCCGCGTCTAACATTCTATGATTTTTCCAACCGGAAATTACCATCCAATTTTCCCATAAAACTGCAATAATCCATTAAAAATACAATTTTTCAAACGCCCACCAACTAATAAAAGTCACCAACACAATCCCCAGGATATTCTCCACAGAGAAAAGCTCCGATAAACTTTATGAATGAAGTAATCACTCTTAAGAGAGGAATGAAGCCGCTACACTGAGAAAAAAATTATACATTATCCAAATATCCACTTCCTCGATAGAATCATCTACATTTGTCATGTTTCTCCAGTCCATTCTTTCCAGGGACTCATTGTGTTCCAAATACATACTTTATAATCGATAATGAATTACGAACTTGACTGAAGTTTCAATAATAGACTCGAGCCAATAAATGAAAATTCTTCAAACCCATCTAAAAATATGAAATATAATTTTGATCTCAGTGTAAACCCCGAATAATAATAACTAAGCAGTCCCTTCATTCTTCGATCACATGCCTTTCTTGAATAACCCAAAAATTCCAAATTACCCTAGACCTCTGCACCCAAGTCCCTGACGCCCTGTTCAGCAATGGGAACGTACCTATCATCAATCTTGACAAGAAGTATAACTTTATCGACATGAGATCGTCGATTAGGATCACGATGATTTGGCAGCCACCTGTGAACAACACACCCCTCCATTCCCCTCTCTGGTACCCAATGTTGCCAGCCCGTTCTGCCCCCCTGTTGTCTCATCCTCTCATCAGGCCAGATGACGTCAATTCTGCGTCCAAGATTAATAGCATCGTATACCTGATTCGGATCCATAATCCTGACTCGTTGTGATATTTCATCCTTCTCAGGCTTCGAAAAGCTAGTCTCACACTTCGACTCGATCTTTATGTCATTATTACTGAGTAGACCAGCGAGTGAAGCTAGAGTTGAGCTCGTGGGTTTTCCAACGGAAGCCAGAGAGCCTCGATTACCCCCAAGGGATCCAGTATTTGCACGACCTAGAGAGCCTCGACCGGTGGAACCACCAATTTGACAGCCAGAGTCCATTGACTGAGAGCCTGAGGTGTTGTGACCAGATTGATTGAATCCAAAATGAGTATTGTGTGCGGTAACGTACACCCCATCATTGCCAAAGCCTCCATCATCCTGGACAGCGGTTCCTCCACTGGAGCATCCCTGTCCACACCTCCTCCTGACTTTTCTCCACAATTTGAGGACATTACTCCTGATGGCAGATAGACTCAAGGGTCCTCCCACAATGGAGCACAGCTGTTCATTAGTCTCTGCATAGCTCGTCGTCAACGGTGAGACATAGATGGGATATCCAATGGGTTGATCACAGGAGCTATTGATGATGTTCCTGAGTGCCTGTTTGGCATTCTGAATGGATCCCCTCTCTGGATTTCTATTTCTCAGGTAAACCAACTCCTGCTGTTGGCCTGCCCACAGTCCCCTCACGCACTCTCTGTTCATCTTGATTACCCTGAAGCTGAGGAATCTCTTGTTCAACATTATAACTTTGTACTCGTCAATGCCATCATCGAGAATGTGCCTGAGAGCGAGCAAACTGGGTGCACCACTGAGAACAGCATTCCTCCAGAGTGGATCAGCCTCGTGACTAATCACCAGGTGTCTGTCGTGATTGTCAATTGCCTCGAAGAGAGCTGCTGGCTCCTCGTACTGGTCAGGACTCATGAAGTGATCCTGATGGAGCTTGAGAGCCATTCTCACTCCCTTCGCCACGACACTCCTCAGAAGATCCACATCGTGGAGCACCCACTCGTCTCTCATGGACGTAATCCTGAAATCTCCCTTGAATAAAGCATGAAGTCCATAGAGAAAGAACTCCACAGAGGAAACAGTATTGTGTGACGCAGCCCCCAGGACTCTCCTCCCCAGGAGACTCAGAGCGAGACAAAGAGACACAACACAGGAGTCCCTAGTCCTCTCTAAAGATTTATCACTCTTTCCAGCGCAAAACTGAATCCAATCGAGATAAACATTGCAGAAGCTGCTCCTGGTGATGCCACTAGCCCTGAAATCGAAGTCCTCGTCGATATTCATGTTGAATACTGGGTCGAGATCCACAAAATTCTTCTCCAGGGTGGGCTTGAGTGCCTCGATGATGTCGGGGTTCTCCAGCCACTGCTTGAGCTTTGTCGACTTGATGGCATAGAATACAATACTCTTCACGTAATACGTTACCAGGACCTTCCTGAAGTCAAAGACCTGGAGCATAGAGCCAGCTGAATTATCGGATATCGAGTAGCCCTCGAGGACGTATTTGGAACTGGCAACTTCCCAGGCAAGCCAGCGCTGGCCAAATGCAGCATTCATGCTCAGAACATTCGAGAAATGACCCATCTCGCAACAACAGCAGTTGTCATTCTCCTCGATGCTCTCGGAGATGGCCTCGACCTCCCTCTGTTGGCAGTAAGTTCCCCTGAACTCAAGACCACGCAATTGAAATGTCACGAGACCATTCCCCAGCTGAACAACGTGCACGAGGCAGTTTAGGTAATCAGATGCCAGGAGAAAGCAGTCCCCCTGCTCAACGTTACCCCATCTCCCTAGGGCAAGATCCCCATAGAGGCTGTGCTGGAGGGATCTCGTCAACTGCTCGTAAAATATCGAGTTGAGATTGTTGTCGTCGGCCCCAAGATTTCTCTCCAAGTGCGACGACATCCTCGTATTTGAGTGATCGACTCTTCTCGTTTTGTAATCCCTCTCCCAGAATTTCAGAGGTCTCACGTAACTGCAGATGAAGATGGCACTCCCCAGGAGTGGATTGAGGGGTGTACTGAGAACTGCGGAGATTGTTGCCTGTACGAAGAGCATGGCGGAGTGGGGAACTGAGAAGGGCTGGGCGAAAGCGTGAAAGGCTGATCCCCAGGTCACCTGCCATGGGGCAATGTAAGTTAGAACGAACCTCAGCTTCAGCAGGAGCTCGTAGATCTTGGCGAATGCTATACTAGTGACGAAGTAGTCGATTAAAAATGTCTCGGAGAGGCCTGAGTAATCCACCTTGAAAAAGAGAACTGCGAAGACAATGACGAGGTACCTGGAGGTTGGATCTGCGTAGGAGGATCTCAAACTCTTGAGACCACAGACGACGATTATGAGTGGTCCAATACTCTCACCGTATTTTTCGATAATTTTTGGGGAGTTCTCGGTGAGAGCTCCCAGGAAGACAATTGGATAGAGTATATTTCTCTCGAGGAAGCAGAGGCAGACGTAGATCTTCTCGAACCACATAATCTTCACAGGCTCTCTCACCTCGAATATACCGTGCCAATGACTTCTGAGGACAGGCCTGGCGAGACATAGCCAGGGCAATTGCTTCCTGAGCTCTGGCACGATGTAGTGAAGGAGAAAACCCAAACAACTGGCGATACTCCAGAGGACTGGATTCAATTCGTGTTGAAGAGCTGTGAAAACAGTTGACGCATGAATGGAGAAAGAGAAAACACCAATGATAGCGCACACTATGAGATCATTCTTCAATCTAGCTTTGACTGTTGTTCTCAATTTTTTTGGGAGGGGATCAACGAGCTCAGAGTCTGATAACTGCTCTCCCACCTTGATCTTAACGTCCTTTTTCCTCCCTGACGTCCTGATTTTCGTGTCTTTGTAGATAGCTGGTGGCTCTCGCCTCGATGTATTCTCAATTATCTTAGCCTCCATCTCCTCGAGATACATCTCTGGTGGCCACAGGTTCGTCTTCACGATGTCCCAGATGACACTCGGATCGGACGAGGATCGGCTGAGGTGGTAGGATATTGCCACGAGGAGTCCAACAAAAATGGAAAAGAGAATGTGCTGGGAAGACTTGGGCTCCGTCAGAGCTCCGTAGGCAAATCCATAGAGTGTTGCTACTGTTATTACACTTCTCGCCAGACAATAAACCGATGACACGAGTCCAGTGGTAGCAGTGCCCCCGAAGAGATGAATGTCCAGGTGTTCACAGATGTACATGAGGAAAGTATTGATCTGGGGAAAGAGCCCCAGCGAGAATATTATGGGGAACGTCAGGAGGAATATCAGGAGAATATTCCGCACCTGCATTATGACATCGTAATCGGCCACCCTGAGACCATAAACCCGAAAGTCAGATGTTTTAAAATTCCTCAGGATCTCATTGAGGATCAAAATAATACTCGACACAATGATAAAGTAAACAGGCCTCGAGAAAACGATTATTCTGTTGAATCCATGAGTGGGAGATGCTGCATCGGGCTGCACGGATTTAAGTAATGAGTACTGGCAGCCAGCAGTTACGAAACAAAAAATAAAAGCAAATATGTCCTTGTAGAAGCCCTGCTGAAGGAGTCTGAGGCCGAGGCCAGCAACGAGAACAGCCAGTAACGTCGATATTATCGTCTCGATGACAGTTAAATTCCTGTCCAGCAGGGCTAGCAACGAGAGTCTGTCAAATCTCACTTTAATGTGTGGTAATTTTCCTATTTTCCACTTGTAGTAGTGCCTGGTGGGTTTGGCCTTGTCCCCCGGTCCATCCAGACCGTCTATAAATCGATTCCAGGAGAGACTAGTATTGATATCACCCTCCTGCTGATTCGGTGATGGAAAAACAGGCCTGGGGTTTGGACTTTCCAATACATGTGACCCCAGTGACTCCAGTAAATTGTGAATCCGTCCGTCTCTCTCCGCAATCATCCTGAAGAAGACGTCACGCTCTGAGAGCATTCCCATGTCAAAGGGAATGGGATTTCCCATGTTGGAAGCCACGAGAGTCTGACCCACTGGTCTTTTTGTTTGATTGATGGCAGGACTCGAGAGCACTGGGGGTGTATCTATGATCACAGTTAATCCAGCTGAATTCAAACTCAAACTGCTGTAGCTGTTGCTCAGGGAGTCCGTGAGCTCCAGGTTACCATCCAGCTGTGGATAGTGATCGACTCCCAGCTGTTGTCGCATTAGAAGAGTATTTAGGAGTTTGTCACTGGGTCCTGGGGGAATGGGCACTGAGGTCGCTACACCGGAGCCCTTCTCGTCAAAGGTGTAAGCCAGCCACCGACCGTTGTCATCTCTGTAACAGTGGACTGCACCCTCGCTCGTGTCATTGTGATTCGTCGCCAAGTGGCACTCGCCATTTGATATCAAACCGAGAAGTGCTGTTATCGGAGCGAAATCTTCCCGTGAGCTGTAACGAGGACCAGCTCTGTGCGCCCTGTGATTACTCTTTACCTTTCGGGGATGATTTCTCCGTGGCATCAGCACTGGGACTCTGCTGGGACCTGGGGCCTCCTGAGGTGGCTGGGGGGACTGTTGGTACTCTGTGTTGTGCTTGAGGATTGCTTCTTTCAAGCGTTGATTCCTGGGGGTGGATTTTGACAAGAGCATCGAGAGCTCGTGGTGTGAACTCGTTGATGCGTCTGGTTTTGGCTCGGGGCGGTCTCGACGGATGCAATCGCGGCGGGTCAGGGGAGGACGGGGTTCGGTCTGCGGTGAGGGTGGTGAGGGAAGGGATGAGAGAAGTCGGGGAACTTTTGGGGACTTTGGACGGTGCTGTTTGGGGATTGCCCCCTGGTGACGTTTTGAATCTTGTGGTACTCCCTGGGGCAATAGTGATTTCTTTACCTCGTTGTCGATACTCAAGGTCGTCGTGCTCGAGGAACCCGAGTCTGGGTCCTTCGGGTGAAAGTCTAGAAAGACGGTGGAATCAATTCTCGGATTGAAAAGGGGGAATTCTTTTATTCGAATCAAATTTCCTGGGGTAATTCGGAAAACTAGACTGATGAGTTAATTATTTGATTCAGATAAAAATTCCCCTTGGGACATTGCAATGTTGCTATGGCTAATCTAATAATGCCTAATCCCTATAGACTGCTCACAGCTCTATTCGAGGCTTTTCCTACGTTTGGAGACTTACAATCGGTACTAGCTGTTTGCAGACTCCCGGAAGTGGAGGTATCTTCGGAATGCGTGAATGTCCAATAAACTGGGCAGCAGAAAGTTATGAGAATTTTCGGGTATGAGGTGCGCGGGGAGCTTCCCTATTTTTTCTAGCTACGTGATTAATTAACAAATAACCGACAATTTTTTTTTTATCCGACAGGAGATTCTAGTGCAATGAAAGAAATGTGATACAAAAAACAGATTCTTATTTTTATATTTTCATTTGATTTTATTTGTAGTGGTGCATCGCTCCGCACTTTTTTATCAAATTTCAGGAACTCAAATTCGATTTCCTCCAACTAAAATCTCCCGAGGCTCTTCCACTCGCCCCAAGCCATTAACAAATATTAATAAATTTCCAGTACTCACTTTTGTTCGCCCAAGGTTCAGCTGGACAATCTCCATTCTCAAACAACCAATCAATGCCGACAATACTCCCAGAATTGAGGGGGTCATCCAATTTTTTCTCCCTCTCGTCCAAAATTTCTTTCCTCCTCTCATTATCAGATAATTCATGGCTACTCTGACTGGCATTACTAAATCTCCTTTTGTATCCTGGCTTGACTTCCTCAAGAAGTGCCTCACGAGAATTTGCTGAGTCATCGTCAATAGCAACTTCTCCATTGAACCTCGAGAATCTGTCCTCAAAGCCCCCAGCACTCAAACTACGATCACGATTGGCACAAATACCAGATTCTCCCTTTGTTTTTCTGGTTAACAGTGGACTATAGGAGTCACGCAAACTATAACCACCTGCACTCTCATTAACAAATTGTTCGTCGCTCTGTTCAGCTATTGGATGGACTATCTCAGAGCCATAACTCGGATAGGGAAGTAATTGAAGTTGATTGCGTTTCAAAGTATTTTGTTTCAATACCTGAAATCATTACATTCACTAATTAATTGAATTTCTGAGTGTTCAATTTTCTACAAAAAAATGTGATGTGATGTGATGAAATGTGAAAAATAAATAAATACTAAAAAATGCATGACTCACTTTCTTCGTATTAATTGTTTCTAAACTCTGGGGATGAAGTGGCAAATTATTGTCATCAGACGGACCAGCATTTTTACTAGTTGCATCGATAGTTTCCAAACTCTGGGGGTGCACCAGCTGTTGGTGTAATTTTTTAGCAATATCCTGCAATGATCAAAGACTTCCATGACAATTCCATTATGATGCCAACAAAATAATAAATCAGAGAATCGAGTGCTGAATTCCTGAAACGAATGATATAGCAAGAAAAGTACCTCTAAAAATTGTGGATGCGCTGTCATTTTAATTTTATCCATGTCTTTATTCTTTTTCGATATAATTTGTTCAAGACTCTGTGGATAATCAGTGATAAGATGTGTTTCCATTGGCACAGAATTCGATCCAAGCCTCCTAACACTCTGATTGGACTTCCAGTAAGGATAATCTTCCCCATGCTGTTGCTCAAGCTCCAAGGAGCTCGTCTGCTTAATCCTAGTCCCCTCGAATGCACTCTTGGAGGAGCTCTGCTTCGAGTGTCTGCAGTGTGAGTCAGCTGATGCATGCCTACAAATACCTCCACTCTGCAAACGTCTCTTCCTCCACTCAACCTCATCATCAACATTCATCACATTTGTCTTCAACTGCTGCGACTCCTCTGAGCTCTCTGAACTATTCTTACGATGTATCTCAACTTTCAAATCGATCGTTGAATTTGGCTTCTCACGATTGTACTCTGATGTTATACTATCAGCATCAGCACTCGCTGCATTCTGTTCGATGTATGAATTTCTTGAGGAACATTCCACTGGTGGTGTGTCAGTTTTTCCTAGAAGGAAATAAGACTATTAAAACTTCCACTTCGCAGCGCGAATCACCTGTTCTATAAAAAATACCGGAATTACCATTCAAAACTTGCAGTTCAATCCCCAGATCCACCTGATCCTGGCACCTGTCATGGCATTTACTACGTGCAGCTCTTTGCTTCTCGCTCTCTGATTTTTTCAGACTGACAGCTGGTCCTGGCTCCTCCAGACACTCGCTGGTATCGTAAACACAATGTAGAGCATGATTCACACATTTTATCGTGCCAAAGAGAGTGACGATGGAGACGCAGTAGGCGAGCCAAACGTAGAAAGTTGGTGGAAAAAACTGATAGAGAAAACAAAGAAAAAATAACGAGAGGAGTGTAAAAAATTATTGAACACCAAAAAGTGGGGCAGAATGAATTCCCAGAGAGGGGATTTCAGAATTATCGATAAACATTTGCCACCCACAACCCACCAGATAAATAGTAAACGGCAAACAGAGTAGAAAGAGCCACGTATAAAGATGAAATGTATTTGAGAAAACATCTAAATGTGGATCGTAGAACCATCCTCCAGTCAAACTCGCCCAAACACCTTGTCTCAATATTTCCAGCGATTGCAAACCCATTCCAGTGACCGTATTGCCCCTTCACCATCTTCCCATAACCCGTATTCAATCACTTCTTTTTTTTTTTCTTTTTATCACTGTCAAATCCGCCACTGGAGCACTCCACTAGACACGGAAAATCATAATCCAGAGACTGGCAACTCTTTTTATTGAGGGTTCAATCTACTCAGGCAGTACGAAAATACACAATTAAGACAATGCATAGTCTTATCTCTGGTCTGCTATGTTCTCTCAGTTTCTTCGGTTTGTTATCTGTTTCGAGTGAAATGTGATTTTAATTCTACCGATCGCCGATTGTGGCGCCAGTTTTCGATCGATTCTGCGTATTACGTATGGGATTGGTTACATTTAAATTTGAAAATCACGATTTCACTGACATGAATGAAAAGATCGTGATTATTTTGATAAGACCACAGGAACGAGGAAAAATCGGTAACATAGTGATGTGTTGGTTTCGGCTCGGCCCCGGCTCCAGGAGCAAACACGAATTTTCTATTTGGATCCCTGACACCTGGAGAAGAGATGGAGAAAAGGAATTTTTATTTATTTTTCTGAGAAATTATCGATGGAATTGACGTAAACTAATATTGAATAATTTTTACGTAACATTGCATAAATTTACTTTATTTGAAGTTAATTGACTAAATAATTTAGTAATTAATTGAGTCACGTTCGAACTTGGATTTTTCAATATTCACACTTTCCCGGAAACCTATCAAATAGTCAACTTTATAATTTTAACAAATTTTTATGACTTGCACAACGTTAAATAATTTATTAACAATTTGAAGTATTGTCAATTTTCATGTTTCAGTCGAGAAAATCGAAAAATCGAAAAATCGAATATCGAGTCTGAAATAATCGATCTGTGGAAGGTCGATTCTGGCACGACACCCTAAGTTGGAACCCCCGTCGTCGCCTTGACGGTTCCTTTTGACGGCGTTCTCGCCTTGTTCGTGTGGTTAGCGTCATATTTTTGATAATTTCATTACAATCATGGCGAAATTCGATTTGACATCGAAGATTGGACAGTACCTAGACCGGCACTTGGTTTTTCCACTCCTGGAATTTCTCTCAGCTAAAGAGGTGAGCAGATGTTTCGCTCCCAATGTAACATGTGGCTTTGGGGTTATGTATGTGGCATGTGCAACTCATAATTGTTAAATAACCAATTTGTTGGTATCTTACTTTGCAAAACTGGGGCAATATGGGCGCTAAGATGGTCCTTTCTAATTATTAAACTAGATATACCTGTGAAATTCAAAGAAAATCGCCTGGAATTTATTATTTTCCTCTATTATGTGATCATTATTTGACAAATGAACGAGTTCACAGGCGAATATTTCTTAAAAATTATCCTGTCATTAAATGTTATTTTATCATCTAATTAATTATTGGAGTAATGCTGTCATAAAATATTTCTTTCAGATTTATGACGAGAATGAATTGCTCCACGCCAAACTGGCTATCCTTAGCAAAACCAATATGATTGATTATGCCATCGATATCAGGATGCAGCTGTATCCAAATGTGGAGGTTCCAGAGGTAATTAACCCTTTCTGTGATTGATTCATTAGCTGCTCCATTAATTACAATCTTCAAAAGTCAATCTTTTAATTTTTTTTTCAGACGTTGAAGTCTCGACGTGCAGTGGTTGTGCAAGAACTCGGAGTACTCCAAAATAGTGTATCCGTTGTTGTATCGATAATGAACAACGAGAAGGCCATGAAGAAGATGGAGGAAATGAGGGATTCAAAAGCTCTGAATAATTATTTAACCCAAGAATTAGATTTCCAAATTGAGATGTTGGATAATCTTGTTAAATTGGCTAAATACAGATACGAGTGTGGAAATTACTCCATTACAACGTCTTATTTATACTTCTATATGCTCATCATGCCACCTACAGACAAAGTAAGATTTTATCCTCTCATAAACGACAATTCAACTTTTTCTTTGCAAAAATCAATGGCATATAAAACCGAAGTTGGAACATCCTGACAGATTATGAAGCTTATGTAACAAATTGTGACAAGTAATTTCTCTTTTCAGAATTACTTGAACGTACTGTGGGGTAAACTAGCCTCGGAGATTCTAGCCCAGAACTGGGATACAGCTCTTGAGGACGTTAACAAGCTACGAGAATACATTGACAGCAATGTCATTGGCAATTCACTGCAAGTCCTCCAGCAACGAACCTGGTTGATCCACTGGAGTCTCTTTGTATTCTTCAATCACGCAAAAGGCAGGGATCTGATAATTGAAATGTTTTTGTACCGCCCTCACTACCTCAACGCCATCCAGACAATGTGTCCACACATACTACGTTATTTGGCAGCTGCTGTTATTGTGAACCGCTCTAGACGTTCCACACTCAAGGATCTCGTCAAAGTCATTCAGCAGGAGTCCTACACGTATCGTGACCCCATCACAGAGTTCCTGGAGCATCTCTACGTGAATTTTGATTTTGATGGAGCTCGTCAGAAGCTCCAGGAGTGTCAGACAGTAGTATTCAATGATTTCTTCCTCATAGCCCTTCTCAATGAATTTGTGGAGAACGCTAGGCTCATGATCTTTGAGACATTCTGCAGGATCCACCAGTGCATCTCCATTGGAATGCTCGCAGAGAAACTCAATATGAAGGCTGACGTCGCTGAATGTTGGATTGTCAATCTCATTCGTAATGCCCGGCTTGATGCCAAAATTGACAGCAAACTGGGACATGTCGTGATGGGAGGACAGCCTGCCTCACCTTATCAGCAACTTGTCGAGAAGATTGAGACGCTGAGTGTCAGGAGCGAAGCTCTGGAGAACCTGATCGAAAGGAAATTAAAAGCTAAAAATCAGGAACCTGTCAGCATTGTGTGGAATTAGACGGAAGGTAATTTTCCTGGGAGTTTTATAACCTGAGGCGTTAATTTAAGATTGAGGATGTGGAATTATGAAGAGAACGATGATTGTCGTAATAAATGAATTTTTATCTGTACAACTGAAAAGTATGTTCTAATTTCTCTAATAAAACATTTCCCATCATTCACGTCTTCATAATCTATGCGGACATATTTAGGTCAGCTGTCAGGTCATAATACTCAAAAATGTTTTTTTTGTTTTTTTTTATTGTCAATCGCATCTTACAAATTGTATGTAAAAATTCTATCATTCCTCATCATGTTTACTCACGTTATTTCCCTGTTCCATACTGGATGATTTGTTAACGATAACCGATATTTTCACTCTCAACAATTCGATGGGACACTCATTAAAGTCAATATAAATTCATATTTAATTCTCCTATTTTCATTCTCACAATTATGACGAAAAATAACATGAGATTATTTACACTCTCGATGATTACCGTGTACCCGTGAAAAATCAGGGCATTTGTTAAATGCAAGTAATGAATATTTTAATATAAAAGAGAATACTATGTACAACACTCATTCCTTATGCACTATATAAAGAAGTATAAGGAGCACTTTATTTAAGGCACTAAATTACTGTTCGATATATTGATGATTTTGTTATTTCTTTTATGAAGTGAAATCTGAAGGAATGAAGCCCTCATATGTGGGTTGATCACAGAAAAGTGCACGGAAAATTTCCACCCGATTCGTTTTATCCCTATTATTATTCAATCATCTCAATTTATTGAACTATACTGTCTCAATTGATTCCATTTATTCCACAAATATTTCGGAAACCATTAGGTTCATTTAAAAACATAAAATTGCGTTTGTACTTCACAAGATTCACAACATGTTTGTTTACATTTTACGATAGACCTAATGATTTCAAAGATATTTAACAAAAACTGAATTTTTAATTGAGTCGCCAACTCTCACTATTTTTTTTTTCGAGAATATCCCCAACTCATATAAATCTAGGAGACGTGAAAATGTTTTTATGCTCTGAAAGCGCATAAAAATTTCAATGCGCTCTATAAATTCATTAGATCTGAAGATACTCTGGAAAATTCGCTCCTCAATTTTTTAATTTATTCTCAATATCCACTCTTTCATAATTATCTACCGACTGACAATAGTTCTAACATTTCATTACTAACGAATAGATCAAAAAAGATCTTCATTCGAGTCCATAAACCTCCCCTCCTATTGCTTCAAGCAACAATAAACAATCCCAGTAAAAAAAAATAATGGAATCCTCAAACGTCCAAACACCTGCGCACTTCGTCTCTTAAACACTTCAAAGATAATATTATAATATTCATATCACTGTTAAGAGTCTTCTTAAAGTCACGATGCCTCCCAAAAACCTATTAACCATGGCAGTGTTAAAAATTTTATTGACCGGATAAAAGAGTCATCGAAAACGTGGATAAGGCACTAAGAGGGCAGGGGATTACTAAAAAAAAGAATCGAAATACAATCAATAGCGAAGTGGTAAATCATCCTAAATTAATTTTTGCACTCCATTGGGCACGAGACCACTCTCATAATGAGCAGTAATTCCAAGGAAAGAATCTCATGGAACAATCTTTGTTGATTTCTTCAGACATAAAAAAAACTTCCCTCAATTTTCCGTTCGGTAATCACTTCTATTAGAGAAAATGCCGAATGAATATTTAGATAAGTGCGAAACGTAAAAGGGAAGCATTACATAAAAACATTCCATAATTAAGAAATTTAAAGAAACTTCATCACCAAAAAAACGCCCTCGATATTTTTTCCTTGAAATAACAGAAACTCTGTCCATTATACATATAACCAAAAGTATGATAAACAAAGTTTACAAGATTAATATTTATTTACAAAGCCATAAAATACCGCTCACTACGAGAGAACCACGACATTTTCAATGCAAGCTCTTTTCTGTCATGAAAAACGAGAAAAATCTTGACTTAAAAATCCCATAGAAATATCTCTGAAATATCTTATGTACATATTGAATTCTCAGCTCAAAAGTAAAAATCCGGAAATGAGATCTCTCGTGGTCTCATTTCCACAAATCAATATATTCTCATGCCATTGATTTTACCACTCCCTTACTGAATAATAATCAACCCCTTGATTGGCCTTAGAGAAAGCCCTGAATTACGTATAAGGTTCGAGTTGTGGAGGTAACCTGGTGGGTGTTGGTGAATTTTTTTGGCTGCTGGAGGGTGGAGTGAGAATGCCACTCTGATCAGGGCTGCCTGTATCGAGGCTCGTTGAGTCCAAAGAGTCTAGTGAGTGAAATTCCGAGTCCTTGTGCCTCTGCTGTGCTTTTTCGAGCATCGCGAGGTCAACGACATGGGTCTGAATTCTGTGGGACTCATCTAGTACGATATTGGGCACTGCTGCCCGCAGTCCAGAACCCGAGTGAGTCTCCACTGGTGATGCTGTTGATCTTGAGAGTAGTTGGGAGTCATCCTCGGCTATGATGTGGGCAAATGCACTGAGCCACTTGGCGCACGGTGCAAGTTGCTCCCAGGACAGTGTTGATACCCTCAGGGCGCACTCTCGACCCTGGGTGTGATACACAGCAGCTGCTGCCATGTGGGAGTATGGAAATTTCAAGCTGCCCTCGTCGAGTGTCGCCAGGTCCAGGAGCTGGGCTGCCTGCGAGAACTGGAGACCACTGTACTGAGGGTAGATGAAGGCATGCGGCCGTGACCAGTCTCCCGACTCCATCTGCATGTAGACGTTCAGCCAACCCGGAGGTGTCACTGGGGACAAGTTCCAGCCGAGACCTTTCAGGATTATTAGCTCTTTCCCGAGGATCTCGTCCTCTGTGCATGCACCGTCAGTCACGTACGCGAATTCCGCGATTTTTGGAGGGTAGATTTCTTCAACCTGCCAGAAAATGAAAAGTTTCATCATTTATTATGGTTTTTTTCGTATTCACGAGGTAAATACACCGAAAAAAATACTCTAGTTCCTGCGGCTCTCGAGAATTAATATTATTTCGTTCGTTTGTGTTTTTAACGCTTTCTTTCCTTATTTGAAAAACTATCAATGAAGTTTATGACATTATTGATTATTCACATTATTTTTGCAATAATTCATGATTTTTTATCCGGTCAATTTAGAGATGTAATTTAAAAATAAATTATCATGGTGTGAAAAATTGATGAGTTCCGAAGAAATTCTTTCGGCATGCAGCAATGGATTGACTGATTACGGTATTAAATATTTATTTGAGAGAAATTTATTGTTCGACTTGTTATGGTTTGCCTGTGCAGAAATGATGGGTAAGTTATTTTTGGAATATGCCAGGACTGAGTGGGTTTACTGGGGAATTCGAGGGGACAAGTGCTTTGTGGGGAATTTTGTCAGCGACAAAAATGGTCTCGTGAATTTAAGCAAGACTACTCGTTTCTCAGGAGCTTGGGAAATAATGGGAATATTATTTTTGGTGTTTTGTAGTTTCATCGCTTTAACGTTAATATATTGACATTAAACGTTTTGATCAGATGTGAATGTGAATTCCCAAGAGAATTTCGTAAACACGGGATAATAACAGAGAATGCAATATAATCTTTAGAAGTTTGAATAATTATTTAATGATATAAGAGGCCTCAAAAAGTAACGTGGAGAGTATTTTGGGAATATTTGAAGTGTGTGAACCGATTTCCTCATCTCTAATGAAATTGTAAATTATTATATAAATAAAAATAAAAATCGATCGCTCATTGAAATAAAATTCGACCAAAATTCGACCAAAATTCTAATCAATTCTAACCAGTACATTCGTAGAAACAGATAAGTCAAGAATATCGCGAAAACGAGTGAATTTCGTAAAATTTATCAGAAGACCTTTTTCTGTGGAGAACTGCGTTATCTGGAGCGAAACGCCTTTCGACAATTTCTCCTGAATCTATTCATTTGGGAGATACAAGAAAGTACACGTCATTCTCGAAGTTATCACATTATTGAAAGTGACGATTGCAGAGTCATTGATAAAAAAATACTAGTGAATTTTCGGTAGACTATTCCGTTCCGAAATTTCTGCAATCCCCCAAATTCAAACGTTGAAAAAGTAAAAAACTAATAATAAAACGACATTTTAACGAAATTTCATTTATTTATTTACGCATTGATAAATGGAGTGAATCTAAGATATTATCAAACGATCTCGTATGTGGAGAATTTCATTATCTACTAAGATGCCCTCTCGATGAATCCCTCTAAACCTGTTCATTCCTCAAATATCCAGAAAATACCGAGCATGCAATTTTTTGTCTCTCCTATCTCCATTAGAGAGGATAAACCCTCTCGAAAATCAAATAAAATAAACAACAATTACATAATTAAATAATTTCTGAAATTGAAAATCTCCCAAAATCATAAAAAAAAAGTCAAAACATCATATGCATTTCAAATTAAAAAAAAAGCATTGAAATGAAAAATAAAAAAAATGGAATAAAATAAATAAACAAATAAATACCTTAGCAGCAATAAATAAACAGGTGATGCCGATGAGTTGGAGTTGACTTTTTGGTACATTAGAGTGTGTTGATAGATACCTATCAATATAATCCATAGCCAGGTAATAAGTCTCTCTGTGTAGTTTATAAACTTCACAGACTTCGATGAGCCAATCAAGGAGAATGGCCCTCATTCTGGGTTGCAGGGTGGGATGTCTCTGGAACATCTGCGAGTCCCTTTGGGTCAGTGTTTTCTGATCCCCCAGGCACATCATAGACCAGACCTGAGAGCCATCGGCCCATGGAAACGAGGGGAGAGGGCATGGCTTTCCTGAGGAACTCGATGAGGCTGAGGGGGTTAGAAAACACGTGGCAGTTCGCAATTCTGACCAGGTAGTAGGCTCTCTCTCCTTCAGGGGTGAAGAATGGCTCTGGGGGGTCTTTGGGGTCTCGGGAATCCGTGACCCATGACAATGAGAGATTGTCCCTATTTTCGTCGGTGGATATATATTTTCAGCGTCTTCTGATGGCTCTGTGCTCTTGCGTTTACGTTTCAAGGGTTGGGGCTTCATTCCCTGGAGTGTATACGAATGGTTCTCCTGCAGACTGTGTAAAACGACAAGAAGAACATTAAGAAATTAAATTACAAATTATCTACCATTTTTTGAATTTTCCATTGCATCAGTTTTGGGTTTGTGTAATCGATGAAAAGGAATAATTAAAAGGAAACACTTAGTCTTCAATTTTTCGGATATTTATGTGAAAATGGAGGCATAGAGATATTTATGATTATTACATGTTCTTTGCCTGTTTGCCTGTGTAAGTGGTCATCGAGAAATAATTTTTTTTAATTGTTTTTGAATGACTCTTACGCTTGTGCAATGAATGCAAGGGAGAAGTGTGTTTTGTAGTTTTTGGGATATTTTAGTACTAATTGAGGAGTAAAGATATTGAATGAAAAATTCATAGATGATAAATAAAGAATATTGAGTAATGAATAAAAAAATATGCTCTCGCAGGCATTATTTATTGAGATACCATCAAAAACTATTCCACCCTGGAAAACCTGTTCTCGACCCGCCCCCTCCTGTCCCACGCCACAATGATTGTGAAAATTCTGTCTACCTCCAACTAAATTTTCCCAATTTTCCGCTAAAGCTACTCTCAAATATTCATGTTTCCCACATCCCAAGTTATAAATAAAAAATCGCAATAATTAAGGAGTATTAAATGTCCTTATGCTATACTTGTGTCCACGAGGCCTCAAGCCTTCCTTCAAATTCCCTGAAATTCTACAGAACTCCACACCCCCATGATCCCTTCTCTGATCCCCAGAAATCATTACTCAATCCTCCAATAATTATTCAGAAGTCCAACAACAAAGATTAATCCTGAAAAACTGTGAAAAAAAGCCCAGATAAAAATTTTTTCTTACAGCGTGCACGCCCTGCCCCCGACGAGAACAGGTTAGAGCACAAAATTTTTTTCCAACCCGAAAATCCAGAGTAATTCTTTCCAAATTTCGCCAAAACCCTGAGGATACCCCACACAACAAAATTATCAAGACCCAGCGACTCAAAAAAGTCGGAAAAAAATTGCAGAAAATTAAATACCCAAAGGTAAATCGTGTCCGACTCACCTAGTCTGTGGCATCTTGATGCTGTCCGTGATGACGTGTGCTCTGGTTTCCAAAAAATTGAAAAAAAAAATCCAAATATTTTCTGAGGGTCTCGGTAACACTCCCCTGACACCACCAAACGTAACAGCAACAATAAAATCCTCAAATTGAATAAATGAGAGACGATAAATGAGGAGAGCGATGCTTGGGTCTCTCACTGAATCGCCATAATGCTCCCTCTGACCGCCGACAGACCCGACCTTTTTCCGTCGATCAAAAAACACCAAAAAATCACGGTAAAATTTTTCTCCAATTTTTTTCATACGTCACAACCCCATAAAAATAAATTGGACAATTTTTAAAAAATATTCATTAACCAATTGGAGCAATAAAATTACAAAAATGCGGGAGTTGATGAGTGGAGCGCGGGAGACTAGCGCGCGAAACTATGACCAACCCTCTGGTAATCCGGTACTGTCACGCCCTCTGTACACACAACATAACCTCGAAGAAAACTCGAGTTTTTCCGGTTTTCCGGGTGTCAAAGAAACCTCAGACAATCCCCTCAAGTGTCCACCACCGAATTATGCAATTTTTACAACTCCTGGGTAGTCAACAATGCCGCAGTCGCAGCAACAATCTCAACGGGTTGAGCGTCCCGACGCCGCGACAATTCCAATATTTTTCCAGGGTTTTTCCCAATTAAACTCCACCAAAATCACTCAAAAAGTCCTCCAACACGTCCACGAGTGTCCTGACCACAAATTGTAACAAAATTTTATTCTTATTTACCGCCAAAATGTTAACAAATAACGGAGGAAAAAGGCACGCGTGCAGTGTCCATTTGGCTTGGCAATTCCCTCGATTTTCCACCGATTTTCTCACTTTTCCGTCACTATTTTTTCGTCGAGTCGACGGGGATCACTCACTGGGTTATCACTGGGTGTTTCAAGTGTTTTTAATCTTGTTAATTGTCGGGATAATTGGAAAATTGTTGGAGATTGGATGGTGTGTCTGTGGCATTTCGCGGGAACGCTAGTGCGAGAGTCACCGGTTGTTGGATTTGTGGCGCTCAGGCTAGGGGAGATGCTCAATGCTCATTGGCTGTTGGCACTGGGACAGCTGGCGCTCAGCTGATCAGTTTCAACATGTATTCACTCATACTTGGATAAGGGATGAAGAATCTACAGGTTGAGTTTGAATGTAGTGAGTTTGGAGCACGCGGGAAACGTACGCGCGTAAATCGACCCCTCCAGCCCGCCAAAGCCACTTTGGGAGGGATGCAAGGATAACTTGCCACGTATTTTTCGGATAACGTATGTATGCTCATAATAAAGATAGTGTGTGTTTACTTGTTGCATTGAATTTGTTGGCGGGATCCCATAGCGGGAATTTTTTGTTTACCGATTATTCGATCTCATCTGATTTTTTAATTTTTTAATAGTTGAATTTTGGGAAATAATTTCTTTTTGGTGGTGGTTTATGGGTCGTGTAGGTGAAATGGAATCCGTTTTTATAATTATGACTGTTGGGTTGGGGCTTGGGGGAGGGGACGTCATGGAGAATTGTGGAGGGAAATTGAGCGTTGGGGTGGGCATTGTTTTGGGGGAATGTTTTGGAGGGATTTTTCTCGAGTTGGAGATGTAGGGGAGTTGAGAGGTATTTTTGAGAGGAGAACTATTTTGGAGGGATCACTGTCAATATTTCTATGCATTTACTCATTGCAAGTAAATTTAATTGGCAGAAATTTTTTTTTTCTGATTGTAAATGTTTATTTGTTGCATTGTTTGGAGTGATTTATTTGCAATGTGGTTTTCTTAGATGATGATTGTTGTTAAGAATATTTAAATTTAATGGGATCATTCTATTGGACTTTTCTAATGGGAATTGGGGATTTAAATGGTGTAAATGATGGCATTAGATGGATTACAATCATTGTGACCGTTAAGAAACGGTTAGGGAAAGAGGGGTTGAGGGGGGTCACAAAAGGTAATTCTCAAGGGAGAGGACGACAGTTGGAGGGGTCAACACTGTTTTGGAGGGATTTTCCAGGAATATTCTGGAAGGAAGTTCAAGGCAAAATTTTGAGAGACTTTTCCTCAAACGGATTTCGTTTTTGTGGAAAAGATTCATACATTCATTTTCTGCTTATTTCTTGCTTACTCGTTGTTTATTCGTTGTATTATCTCGTTTATTATTTTTATTGCCCCTTTTTTGGGGGTTTTACGATTTTTTTATGAATTCCTGAGAAAATTCGGAAAATTCGGGGCCTTTTTGAAAAACTTTGCCAAGCAATCGATAAATTTGTTTTGGAATCATTATATTTCTAGGTCGAAGGAAACTTGAATTAATTAATAAAAATTAATGAATGATAATATTCCAATAGAATTGCCACATAGAAAGGGAAAATTTTTGAGAGAATTCTCGACAGACATGTACTAAACTGAAACAGTAAATATTACTTTCAAGACTTCTACGAATTAATAATAATTATATTATTATATAATATTATACAAAATACATTCAATTCTTAAAATTCCTGGACAATTGTTAACCGATTTTTTATCGTGTAAATAATGCTGTTTCATCCAGATTATGAGCAGAAAATGAAATTGACTGTTTACGATAGAGGAACAAATTTTTTTCTTTGCAGGCGGTATTCGAATCGCCAGAAGTTCCTTCTGCTCTATTTCCCCCATTTCCCAAAAATTCCATAACTTCGAGAATTGCGATGTCTCTCTGTTCTCATTGTCATTCTCATTCTCATTACAGCAGATGGAATTCAATCGATGAGGCAATAAAACTGCTGAGTACAGTTAATTGTTCGTCATCGTTCTTGATTACCCCTTTTGTTTTTTTTTTCTTACTTTTTCACGAATTGGCCTGAAAATTCTTATCTGATGAATGTTTCGGGAGATAAAATTGTTTTTTTTAGATTAAATATCGTTGAGGGAATTTTTGGGTCGGAAGGAGATTTCGGGTGTTCTTAGGTGTTTAAATATTTATTTTAATGGGAGGATGGTCTTTAATTTTTGCGTAGGCTCGAGGTCATTTGGGAGGTAACAATTTTGGGGATATCTATGGGTGATTAAGACGATTTCTGCTGCTTTAAAGGTGCTTCATCCGTTGGAGGGCGCGGAAAAGTCCGCGGAATCGCGAGATTTGAATTTGAACCGCGGAATATCATTGACAATATCTTTCTAATTGTCAAAGTATTTTTTTGAGGAGAAGAAAGACTTATTGCCTTTCATCCTCTCATTTTTCACGATTAATAAAAATTTCTGGGGATCGCTGAATCAGATTAACGCAAAAAAATATAACTTTTTGCATTTCATGTTATTCAACGGCTCATAAATTCGTCGTGCATCAATTTTTATAAATTCTTGCCAAAATTTCGTGAATTGCAAAAATTCTTCGTCGCTGGGCTTTTCGGAAATTTCTCCAACTTAAGAAATCCAATAAAATTTTCGGAATAATATTTTCAGTAATTCTTAATAATCTCCAAAAAAGGATTCAATAAAATTTTTACCATCAGCTCTCATTCCAAAGATATTACCCAAGAATTTCCAAGGGGTCCAGTTAATTCATCTTATTTACCTACTTCACTTTAGAATTAATTTGTCATGGAGATGAATGTAATTTTTTAATGGATTAATCCCTATGTTATCGACTCCTCCCCCACCTTAAGACCTTCAAGTTCATCGACTTTATTCCTCTGCCATATACAAGCGAGCGTTGATGTCTCCTCGGTCTGTACCATCCCGAACTGAATAATATATATATGAAAATGACATATATATATTTCAATTTATTCATTCCCTCGGTATTACAAAAGTATTTTTCTTCCTTCACATCAATATCCTCCCATCTTCCCATCAATTACAAACTATATAAATCAAAAGTGATTTTAACATCACATCAAAACGAATCTATATATAAATATAATTATATAAACGCGGATTATATATTACCAAAACATTTATCATATATGGCATCCGTTATTTTCCGTTATTTTCCACCGATTCACCTAGAGGTATATTAAAAATATATTTAATATATCGCATGCGATATAAATTTGCCCGATTTAAAATTTATCTCGTGCATATCCTACATACCACGTTTTTCGCCGTTATATGATTCAGATATATGTAATATATATTCGGCCATGTATTTTTATTCCATGCGGGATATCTGCAACATTGTCCTTCAATTTTTCCCTCTCACATACGTGATCTCATGGAAATGTGTAGGTGGGAATGTGCCCAGTGGCACGAAGCTGTCAAAATTCCAAAAATCATCAATCACTCATTCGCCCTTCTACCCCCCACTCTTTTTTATTCAGGTATCAACGATCATTGAAAGAGCCTCGGTATGAACTCAACTCCAGCCAATAAAATCACTAATGAATACTGGAGAACTAAAATCAAATTCAGCTTTTCAACTCTACGAAAATTCTGTTAACAATCTTTTGATTTTTCGATTGTTATATTAAAGAGGATCGAAGAGAAATTATTTTGATTGAATAAACTGTCCTATTTCCAATTTATTAAAGAAATATTGATAAATTCAATTTTCATGATAAATTCAAATTCAAAAATATTTCAAATGAAGAATAACATGACGATATAATAAGAATATTAAAATAAATTTAATTCATTTTTTTTAAGATCGGAATAGTGAAGATCGCGATTTATATTCACATCGCCGATTTCTTTCAGAATGATTTTAGAAATTGTAATGACACGAGAATTTGGAATTCTGGAATTTGGAGTGAATTTGAATTTAGTGCGGGTTATCTTCAAATCAATAGTCATTAACAATTGTCATTAGTACTGAAACTTTCGCAGTATCGGTAATACATGGTTGAGAAAGAAATTGGTCTTTGTCCGCCTGTCACCTGTTGGTCTGGCCACCTCGGGGGCAGTTCCACACTCATGAATAAATCGACCAAATAAACCACCCAAAAAGGCCACAAGCCAGTAAAAAAACCGAAAGAATAATCGTGAGAACCGGTAGAAACGACCGGTAGTTTTGTACTTACCGATTGGGTGCCCCCGGGTGGAGAACCCCTGGTTTCTCCCAGGGTCGGGTGAATAATTGTCCAAAAACTCCACGAAAGTCCAATTCTCATCATCCCTTCTGTTCCCACCCTTCCGCAATCTCTAATTATCCCAATTAAAATATCATTTACTTGAAAAAAAAAATGATAGAAATCACAATCAGATAAAAAATGGAGTTTTTAATTGAATTGATTGAAATATGCAATGGAATAATAACAAAATAATAATGAATTTATATAATACAAAGGAAAAGTAAATTTGGTCACCAATTTCGGAGACTTCTGTGAAAAAATTTAAACATTATAGTTTGATATATAAATATATTATGCGGATATATTTGATATATATGTTATATATACACTGAACATGTGTTGGCGCCTTCTATTTATTATATACTTGATGTATATTTGACAGATATCCTATTGGCAATGTAAAAATGTATAAAAGTGAAGAGTTCAAGTACTTCCGCAGTGTTTATACCTGTGAATGATGTCGCAATAATCAAGAGATTCAACTCTCTCTCTATTGTCAGATAAATTGAAAAATTATTACCAGCAATTCAATCGCTTTTCCGCCATTCTCCAGATGTGCAATTTCAAACTCTGGAAATAATACTAAATTTGAAATTTGAAAAATGTATGTTTTAAAAGCTAGCACTCAAATAATGGATAATAATAAATTTTCCAAAAAGTACACATTGAAAAATAATCATTTTCTTCATGTACTCTGTCATAATTGACAGGAAGAAATAATTGAAAAATATGCATAAATACCTATTACCAATATTTTTTCGCGGGTAAAAATGATGATTGGAAGTTATGGAAAAATGATAATTTGTTGTAGGATATTCTAGGGATGAGTGGGGGGTCGGGGTCCGGGGGCACAGTTGTAGATGACAGCGGCCCTGGTTTACTGGAAATCGTTAGTGGTCCGGGGCCATTAAACGCGTTATATGTGTCTTGCAATTCGATCCTGCAGCGCTCGGTGCAACGATCAGAGAGTAATTTACGCGAATTCCTGGGCATCGTGCGGTCCTCTCTGCAGGTGGGCCATACAGGCATTTTGCTGTGAGTCCTGGAACAAGAACACACCGGGTACAACCAACAAAATTCTCACAATACCCTCATCGTCTCGACTCTTGAGACACCGATCGAGATCGATACGGGGTTAGAGCCTTTTGCGACGCGCGATCTATTACCGCTGAAATCGATACTCACACTGGTGGGGGGATTTTTCCAATATTTCTCACTGAGGGGGTGGTGACGTGAGAGGGAAGGAATTACTGAGAGGCCATTGGTCTTTGTGTAAGTAGAGATGAGGGTATTTAATTAGAGGCTTTTCGGGGTTTCTCCCACAGTTTACTAACATTCTTCTCCTATCATCAGACCTCACTTTCATCACTCCCTCGACTACCCATTTTTTCTACTCATTTTTCTTTCCAGTCTTTTTGTACTTTTTCCACTGTTTTGACATTCCAGAGTTTGACAAGACTGCAGTTCACAGTGAAGATTTGTTTGAGCATTTTTTTTTATCACGGAGTTTATCGGTTATTCAATGTGTCGGGGAAAATTGTTATTTTTAGTGGGAGAAATTTGAAAAGTGTGGGAAGTATCAGTGATTCGGTGTGATTGGTTCAGAAGAGGTGATTAATTTTTTTTTTAATTGGTGTTGTAAAATTTTGGGAGTATAATGAGAGGAGATAAACCCTTTTTATGATTTGGGGTAATTACGAGAGGTAATTACGAGATTATGGGGGGGAATTCGGTTGGTTTTGGTGGTCGTGGTGATGATTTATAACGAATTGTGAAATTTTTTTGAATATTAAAAATATTGCCACAGCATTTAAATTGTTCAGGAGATGTAGGTCGATCGATGAAGTCGTTTGGAATATTCTTGTCTTTAGAGATCCTCAATATTTCCATACGAGATTGTGAAACGACATAACTTCACAACTTATTAGCATACTATTTTACAAATATCTCTGGAATGAGCTTCATCAGAATTCATCAAGATTCCATTGCTGCCGAGAGATTCAAAGCTAAAAAAAAATTAACCGTTCCTCCTGGAGCCCTCGATTTCACTGATACGTTCCAACTGATAATCAGCAATCGGGAATTAATCGATGATCATCGATCTTGCCTCGATTTATTATAGACTTGATTTATGCGAATCGAGTATTTCCTTTCACTTCATTGGCATTTCCATTTTCAGGGTAAATGGTTGGTTGATGTGTGATGCAGGGCATTATGCCGGTGAAGACAAAGTCAAGAGTCACTGAAAATATGGGGGTGTCTAGTGGTCTGGTTGATGATCGGGCAAAGCAAGTTCTCAGAGAAGCTGTTGATGCTGTTGTCAATAGTTTTGCAAAGCATACGCAAGGATATGGACGAGGTAACACTTTCAAGCCGTCGAATTGTATTTGATTTGAATTTTTGATTTGATTTGAATGAGACATTTGATATTAATATGAATTGCATTGAATCCATTGATATTGTTTATTTACAGTGAATGTTGTGGAAGCTCTCCAAGAATTCTGGCAGATGAAGCAGAGCAGAGGTACAGAATTGCGAAATGGAGCTCTCGTTATTTATGAATCCGTACCAGGGGCGAGTCCTCCCTACGTCTGCTACGTGACGCTTCCTGGAGGCTCGTGCTTCGGAAGCTTTCAAAATTGTCCAACTAAGGCTGAAGCTAGGAGATCAGCAGCTAAAATCGCTTTGATGAATTCGGTGTTCAACGAGCATCCTTCTAGAAAAATCACTGATGATTTCATCGAGAAGGCTGTTGCTGAGGCCAGGGCTAGTTTTAATAAACCAGCATCGAATTCTAATGGAGTTAATGGACAGGCACAAGTAATTTTTTTATTCAGATAATTAAATATTGACATTTTCCTTAGAAATTTGTACTTCAAAAAATTCAGAATTATCAATAGCCATTCTGCAGCTGGTACCTTTCTGTTCACATTTCCATTTTTGAGAAAATTTATCATTTGCTTTAAACCACATCCTTTTGGAGGTATTCGCAGAATACAAATCCGTCAACAAATCCGGTTCGAAATTCATCTCCTTTTACCAGTATGCAACCGAATAATTTTCGCATTTACATCGAGAACGAGCGATTTCATGACAACAGCTCAGGAACTTTCCTTGTGGCAAAGAAAATTATATATAAAAATCGTTATATGTTTTTATGGATGAAATTAATCAATTTTGCACTCCTTCCAGGGAAGTGGAGATGAAAAAGAAGATCCAAACACGGGAATCGGGGCATTTCGTTTCATGCTGGAGTGCAACAGAGGCAGAACGATGCTAGAATTCCAGGAGTTGATGACAGTTTTTCAGCTGCTGCACTGGAATGGCTCGTTGAAAGCTATGAGAGAGAGGCAGTGCAGCAGACAAGAAGTCGTTGCTCATTACAGTCATCGAGCTCTGGATGACGATATGCGCAGTCAAATGGCACTTGATTGGGTAGCTAGAGAGCACGAAGGTGGTGGAGGTGTAGTTGCCATGGAGTTGGGACTCGCTGAGAGAGAGTTGGAGACTGCTAGACTCGCTGGACGCGAATTGAGATTTCCTAAGGAGAAAAAGGATATTTTAATGCTTGCTCATGCCCAAGTTTGTCCCCAGTAATTTCATCTATTTATTCCCTCATGAAGTGATAGGAATTCTTTCATAAATCCACAAATTATTGTACTGGCGTGGGAAAAGTATGTATTGCTCGCGTTCGCGTTCTCCGACTTGAAAATTCTGGAAATGCAATGATTATTGAATTCGTTCAAGTACGAGGGAATTTTAGAAAAAATATACAGATTAATACTTTAGAGAAAATTTTAAAACCTGCAACTAAGGCTGATATTTTGTCCTAGAATGGGTGGTACTTAAATTAAATTTCGAATCAATAATAAATTTAGATTCGATGAAAAATTCTGCCATAAATATTTTGTGAAGTCTCTTGGAGAGACTTCGAGGAGTCGTTCATGGAGTGTGTTGGAGTCATTGATAAATTTTAACTTTCTCAAATCGTTGTTTGTTTGATCTTAATTTATCATCACTTCGTTATTTATCGAAAATCACTCTATCCACTCGTCAAAATGACAGAAATTTCAAGACTCAAATTGAAAAATTTTTAATGTTTCTGCTTTTTATACGTGAGAGCAGCTAGAGTCGAAGGCAAATGAGGGTACTTAACATTCCGAATTGATAATTGTATATAAAATATCAGACGCAGCTTCTGGGGCTGTAAATGTCCTGGAAGTCTCCTGGGTCTTCCACTAAATTAACTGTACTTTTAAATTGGGCATTGGTGGCATGAATTATCTACGAAGTAGACAAACATCTGTCTAACTTGTCCAAGTGATATTTTTAGCAGCATTTTATATTACTTTTTATAGTCTATCTTAACATTCGCCATAATCTATCCTGAGGAGATTCTAGTAAATCAAGCATTATTTTTAAAAATGTAAAAGTGACTCAACACTTATTTGGGAACATTTTGTGCGTTAAATAAATTCTATAGAAACTCCTCAAACCATAATACTATAGTAAAGTGATAAAACGTAATGAGTTGAGGTGTCTACCTGAATTTTAGTCCAATCGAGCCGAATATTAAAGAAAAAATTCAATGACTGATGGGTTGTTGTGCGAATTCCTTTAAAAAAATAGAGCTACATATAGCCGAGCTTCGAAAATTGACTTGTTTTGTTTTATTACATTTCACTTTTTCACTACTGAATTTGTTTATTATTCTACAATAATTAAGAAACATAGATGTTAGAAAAAAATCGCGATATAAAGTGGTGTAAATGGAGCATTCAATTACAATCAAAATATTCGTAGAGAACTAGTTAAAGAAAAGAAAATTCGCATCATTAACTTTGACAAGTAAAATGCATTCCTGATTATTCCTATATTTGGAAAAAAGTCATTTAGAATATTCCTTCGAGATTTCATCCTCTAGAGATGTTTGTACACTAAAAAAATCTACCCAACATGAAATATTTAGAGTAATCATTAATTATCTCGTAAACGAGTGGTTTATGATTTTCTCTGCGATAGCTGAAAAGATTTTCAATATTCTTTGTTAATTCATCTTTTAATCACTCATCGACCAGATATTTTAACAGTAAACAGATGTAAAGGAGCGACTTGTTACAAATTTTCTCCTCTCGCGAATGCTATGTGATAAATGTCTAGTGTAATATCATTCTTCCAGTTAACGTATTATTCTACTGCCAAACGTAATCGCACGTGATAAATATTATGTATATTATTTTTCGATGGAGCAAGATAATATGAAAAAAGTGAGACTTGTTCAACTGAAAAAAGCACAATATTTGATCAACTGTATCTGGAATGAGTTCAACTACGAAATACAGAATAGTTTATAACATTTATTACGATTAAATATTTTATTATTAAACATTAACAATTTGCAATAATCTTTTTCACCTTTAATTTTATTGACTTTTCAATATTTATGGTTGTGCTGTCGTCCTCGTCGAGTCAATTTCGTCTTTCTCTTGCAGTGGATGCTCCAGGATTTTATCGATGATTCCAAATTCTTTGGCATCGATTGGGGACATGAACTTGTCTCGCTCCATACTGTTTTCTGTTGATGATCAAATTAAGAAATCCATTGTTATATATTTATTTTATTCTTTCCCTTCTTAAGAATAGTGATGGAAATTATTTTTTGAGAATTCTAAAAAATCGTGGACTCAACAAATTTTTTTTTGTTATTTCCTCGTGAAATAATAGATATTTTACCTATCCTAAGCAGCTCGAGTCCAGTGTGCTTGACATAAAGCTGATTGATCTGTTTCTTGAGTTTCAAAATTTCCTCCGCCTGTATTTGAATATCCGTAGCCTGTCCTTGAACTCCACCGGATGGCTGATGTATCATAATCCTGGCATTGGGCAATGAATGACGCATTCCAGGAGCACCAGCAGCTAGAAGTAAACTTGCCATAGAGCAAGCTTGCCCAACACACCAAGTTGCAACCGGTGGTAGCACATACTGCATTGTATCATAAATTCCAAGGCCTGCTGTTACACTGCCTCCAGGGGAATTTATGTACAGATGAATTGGTTTTTTACTGCTCTCAGATTGCAGGAACAAGAGTTGAGCAACTACCAGGGATGAAATGTCATCTGTGATCTACATTTAAAAATTAAAGAGACCTCAGTGAAACATTCATTACATATAAAAAAATTATCTCTAAAATGGAGTATCAAAACACTTACTGGTCCCATCAAACAAATAATTCTCTCCTTTAAAAGTCTAGAATATATGTCATAAGCTCTTTCTCCTCTTCCAGTTTGTTCTACGACGATGGGAACGAGGTTCAAATTTCTAGCGATGACATGTCGATGCCCCTGAAATATCCAAAAGTAAGGTTACACGTTCACTCTTATTTTTTCAAAAAACGTGATTTTCATAAAAACTAAAATAACCAACTGACAGCTGATCCCAATAAATTGCAGACTCTCCTGATTAACATATTGCCTGCAGATAACGAATTTTCCCTTGAATTTTCTCGAATCGACTTGTTGTTTTCGTTTTCACTTCTCGATGATTGACAGTAAAAAAACCGGACGAGCAATCGATCTCGTGAACTCTCAAGAGCAGTCCACAGAACTAGAGGATAAAAACGAGAAGATCTGATCAAACATCAACAAGTGTGACGTTTCTCAACCTGTCTCGACAACCGATTGATTATTTTCTCGGTCACTGACTGAAATTTCAACTTTTACTTTATTTTCATCAACTGTGCTGCCTCTTGTGCTTCAAAATGATGTCACGTGGGTTTTGTTCGGTCTTTTCGAGGAATTTACTCGATTGTGGACTCCGGCTCTGCGGTAATTTGCAGGGTTTTGGAGTTTTCACTGTTTAAAACAATAACAATTGTAATTGCAGAATTAAAACTGTCCCTCGAGGACTAAGTGATCATTTGAGTGCGAGTTTAAGTCATCGTCAAGTTATCATCGACGATTTTGTTGGAGTTTTGGACCTTCAGAAGGGGAGAGGTTAGTTTTGCAAATAATAAACTATAGATTCCCGTATTCTCATGAAACCATTCCAAGATAAATTATTTGAATCAATTAGCTGAGCTGACTCATTAAATTAAATTACACAATTCCTGTTAATCCTCAGGCAACGATAAAAATGCAGTCACTGATGAGAACAGTGCAGAGAGGAGCTGCTCTTCTCTTTCCAAAGCTGCCAGCCCTAGAAAACCTCCAGGTCTCTCCTCGAGGGTTTCACTCACTGAGTAAGACTATCACGCCACAGAGTAATTTGATAGAAAACTCGGACAACCACTTCCGAATTGGACTATTACGACCCATTCAACCCCTCCTAAATCTTTGCTGCGGTATGAAATACAAAGTCCGGCTAAAACTCCGTTGCAAGGACTGCTATTTCTGCTGGGTAAAAGGACGACTGCACGTCAGATGTTCAACTCATGGTAGACACAAACAAGCGGCTATTGTCAAACCAGAGAGGAAAACCTGGATTTTAACTTCTGTATCACAGACGAAAAAGAGACCGTGGTAGTTTTGTAAGATTTATTGAACTGTATATAATATCAAATAAAATACAAAAGTTAGTTTATTGAGTCAGTTCTCGAGAACCACTTGATTGTCAGTTAATTCTAGGCTTTTCCTGCTGATTTCGTTTTTCGGAATGATTCTAGAATGTTTTTGGAGAGAGGCAACGTGTAGTGGATTATTATTTCGGTGTTTTCACCTTTGAGACATGTCTCTTCCCAGGATGTCTCAGAGGTGTCTGTAGGATTGATCCAAGCCTAGAGGAATTCATTTTTAATTTAAAGTTTTTGCCGTTTGTCAGTATTTAATGATTGATGAAGTTTCGTGATGGTGCGATAACTTTCATGCATTTTTTTAGTTTTGTAATTCTTTTTATTTTTTAATAACGGATTTATTACGTTCTTGCAGTGATCAGCCCACGAAATCAACAGATTGCTATCTTTATTAATTCGACAGGTCTTGAATTTATTAAATTGTCTCAGGGCCTTCTTGAATTCACCTATCACCATGTAGTAATAAGCCCGCAGGAGCGTATACCTAAAAATTGATTGCAATTACAAATTTCTCTATCTATCATATGTCTAATTTTTTATATCTCTCTTTGTTTATCACCGGTACAGGCAGACTTTTATGAATTTCTTGATCTTCCCAACTTTTTTGAATTGTCGTTGGATCTTTAATAATGTGTCCCCAGCTTCTTTTGTGTTTCTACTTTCCTTTTTGCGCACTGAAATGTATAAATCCATCTTTAAACGATTTAGGTACACATTCTACCAATTGAATTTATAACTCCTGAACAGGATTTTTTGTTTAGAAGTTCTTCAAGTACTAGACGAGTTAGTACTGTAATATATAATGAGCCCTTCCAGATTTTTCAATGCAGTTACTCCAGTTAGGACATTTAACTCGCGGATTGAGTAATTAATAGTGACTCGTCGCTGTCTCCAAATGATCGCTCCTTCCCAATCGCCCATCCTCACACACCTGTAAAAAAAAACTGAAAACTCAAAGAATAAGGGAAAATCTGAGGAATTGAATTATTTCTACTTTAATTAAATTACTGGAATAATTATATAAATCTGTACGGAAGTGGTAAAAAGTGACATTTTCTCATGATTGATTTCTTAAAAAAATAATTTGATATTTACCAAAGCCACATGGACGTAAGAAATCTTTTCTTCGCTTCAGGATCATTTAAATGCACATCAGAGTCTCCTTCCAACTGATAGAATTTCTCGCATTTCTTGAAAGAAGCTATCGTAACTCCACATTCCAATTGAAGATCAACGCAGAAAGCGTGGTACCATAAACGACCGGATTGATCAACGATAGAATTCGCTACTAATTCTAAATAATAAAAAATAAATTATGGATTGAAGTAGTAGAATCTAATAAGTCAATTGGTGTTTGATCGATGCAAGCCCAATAATTTTACCTAATTCCTTCATCAGCGATACGATTTTTTCCATTTTTTTGTCAACCATCAGCGACTGAATTACTCTAGGAAAAATCATCAACTCTTGTCTCACGGATTTCACAGTCTTCGCTAATCTCAGAGCGATGCCTCCTAATTGAGATGCTTGCACTCTTTCCTCTCTGAGCAATCGAGAGAAGGAAACTTTCGTGTACAATTCGATAATCGCTTTTAATTCCTCCAGCTCGAGGGCGTCTTCTCTTTGATTGCAGAATGCAATTCCCCCGTTTTCGAGCCAGGGAATGAGTCCTCTGTAATCAACCCCAAATACCATTTAGATATCAACATTTTTTTTTAATTGTAATTAAAAAATAATCCTAAAGCTGTAAAACGAGTGATTCTATTCTAAAAATTATTGATTATTACTTAGAAAACCGCAGAGTAAAATCAGTTAATCGATTCTTTAGTTTAATTTAATTTCGAAAATGAAATTTATTAATACAGGAAATGCCACCTACTGATATTGATAATTATCTGCAATCACAATCATATTAGCAAATGCATGACACATTGTCACGAAATCGTTATTAGACGTCAGTGCAGAATTGAGACTCCAGATTGCCGCTAATCTCGCGTGGTCCTGCATTTCTTTGATCTGAAAAATATTATTTTTCCATTCAACGGATCAAAAACATTATTCTCTGTTTATGAAAGAGTAATTGACGAATGTAATGTATTTTCTTATGAAGATACCCTGAAAACTACGAACAATTGCGAGAGACAAATGGCTAGTTGGCTATTATAATCAGCTGCATCGCCTTCATCTACTCCTATGAGATATCCTCCCCAGTACATCAGCATGATCTTCTGATACCCCAGGAGGATTCTTGACTTGACGTTGATCATAATTGTCGTCTTCGGGAAATCGTACCCTAGTGTTGCTACTGCTTCAGCGAAAGACTTCAACGCTTCATCAACGAGTCCAATTTGCAAGTGACATTTTCCCTGGAGAGTCTTAATCTTCGCTTTGAGAAGAGGACATTTCACCAGCTCGTCTTCATTGTCGACGAAAATCTAGTCAATGAATAAGACCGAGTGAATTAGGTAAACAAATGAGACGGCGAAATAAGATTTCCTTTCCTGAATTCATATTATCATGAAATTCAATCGAAAACCGATTTCTCTAAAGATTTTATTGAATTTCTGTGAATTCTTATTAAAAATTGTAATTCCGTTACATATAAATTTACACTCTTCTCCAAGGTAACGAAATCTGCAGCCCCAAAAACATAAAAAATCGGTGCTAAATAACTTTTCATAGAAAAAAACAGGAAATAAAAATTGTAAAAGGAAATCTACTGCCATTTCCCATTAAATTTCACATTCAATAAAAATCACGTACCAAACAAATAGAATTAAATAATAGAATTTATCTATTGTTTATTTTCTGTGCAGTCGAAATTAAACGAAGAAATAACTTCAATCATGAATACCTTCCCCAGAATTTCCTCAGCATCACAAAGAAGTTTGGTAGCATAAGCGACATTATAAGCCGCCAAAAGTACCTCCACAAATTCCAGAATAGTCGTCAACGTCTTATCTTTCCGATCAATCCCCCTGCAGTGTTCCAGAATTTGTGTATAAGCATTAACAAGTATCAAATTGCATTGACAATCCCTGAAATCGACGCCCTCAAACGTCTTAGGGACTACCAGCCCCGCAGAAGGATTGAGAACCAGTGAGGACCGTCTCTTCATCTCCTCCTCTTCAAAATCCTCTCTATCAGTACCATCCGCACTGTAATCTGAGAACTCCTCCGACAAGTTGTTCCTCATCCTCTTCGAGTCCCTAACACTATCCTCATGAACTTTCCCCATCAATTTAGCGAAAAAGCCCCGTCCACAGGGTCCACACCGCCTGGTGTTCCTCTGAAGATACTTCAACGCTTTTTTATGCAACTCGATCTTCTGATACTCCGTCAGCAATCGATAAGTCGTTTCCCTGAACTTAGCTATTTTGAATCTCATCAGAAGACAATTAGCATAATCAGGAAAGCCATCAAAGGTCTTCTTACCGGCAACCCCAGGACACCCGCACTTGATTTCCGTTCCCAAATTAGGGCTCTTGATGTTCGTGAAGAACATTATGGGTGCATTGCTCCTGGCAGAATCACCGGAGGCACATCCAAGGATTCTCATATTAAACAGATTGAAGACTGCCACTGCGACGTCATATGTTGACGATTCGACCATTAAATTCTGGAGCATTGCTCTATCAACGATCTCCCCCAGCACTGCTGCACATTTCAAGAGATACTGCTCCAGAGGGCTGAGAGAATCAAAACGTTTGAGGATTAAAACGTCCATTGTCACTTCGGGGGTGACTTCCTCAAGGAGTGATACTCGAGGAACTAAGCAGACATGGATTAATTCCTCAGTGATGGGTTGATTGCTTGATGACGCCTTGCAATTCTTCATAATTCTTGAGTCATCATGTCCGTTTTCTGGAAGGGTCTGAACAGTCTTCGATGTCTCTTCGTCATGTACCTGAAATTCTCTCTTTTCATGATCAAGACGAGTGCAGCTTGCTCCATAGCTAGTCTCATACATCTTCCAGCCATCAGATCTCTCTTCAACTGGTTCATCATTTAGGCTGTTGTAGACTTTACTGTGTTTTCGTTGTTCTAGCATGATCGCAGGTGGTGCTACCAATCCCATTTCTTTCATACTGCTCTTAGGGATCTCCTTCAACCGAATACCTTCGATCTGCAAGAGACTCACCAAATAACTCTCTATCCATCCGGGATTCCCCATACTCTTTTCTTGGATGACCTTCTCTAGCTCCGCAGGAATCGCCGAGACCTTCAATAGTTGGCAGGCCAAGGCCGCGTGAAACCACTTGTCCAGTCCCATTAGGTCGATTATTTTCGCTTTCTCCAGGATTTTTGATATCTGATGCTTGCGATCGGTGATCTCCATCTTTCCAAATGAGAAGACGAAGAAAATGTGGTGGTGCTCGATGATTGTTGCTAGGAGAGAGAGGGATTGCTCGTCGGCGTTGTGAGTATCGTCTGTTATCACTACCCAGGGCTGATTGAAGCAGGAAACGACGAGTTTGAATATCAGCTTCTCCAGGATTGTTCTTTTCTCGGAGACTGAGAGGTTCAGGTAGTACGAGGAGACACGGTATTTGACGTTGAAGACGGGGTTGAGGGCACAGAGGAATTCCGGGTACCGGAGGGATTTCAGGTGGAATAGGAGAGTATTCTCACGCGTTTGGGAGGTCGTGGAGATGTTGAACTGGAGAGGATCGCTGAAGATTAAGTGGACGAAGCTGAACGGTGTCTGGGAATTCGACAATTCACCATTAGTTCACAAAAATTCAA